GGTGACCCTCCACGCCAGGAACAAAACCCTGGGAATGTGAGCTATGCAGAACTGCAGCTTGGAGACACCTGTTCAGACAACCAACACAGAGCGAAGCCACGTACTCTGGCTTTTCGTCTGAGCCGCTGCATCCGACCCCATCCCGACCTCGGCTGCCTATGCTCCACATACACACTCCAGCATTGTGAGCACAAAAATGGACAAACATGCATCTATTTTCATGTCACATGCCCTCACACAGGCCTGCCAAGACATTCTCAAGGTGGTGAAAGTTGACAGTTATATACACTATATATTATATATCACTTCTGTGTTTGTGTATTTGCTGTGTAGAAAAGGGCAAAAGTAAGCCACCTGTCATGATGCTTAACTGTTGACCTTACTAACAGTAAAGCGATGAACTGGACTGAAATGCTAATATACAAAGTCTCCAGGGAGAGTCCCCCTGCACAGCTGGAATACAGACTAAAGGCCCCCCAATTTTTTTTCTAGACACGATTTAAAAGAAGAACTAGGCTACTCCCAGTGAGAGCAGAGGAGCTTGCCAAAACTGCAGACAAGCCATTGAGGCTTCGGAGTTTACACAGAGAAATGTCAGCTCTCCAGAGAGTACCCTCAGGGGCATTCAAATACAAGCCAAGGAAAGCCGTTGTCCATGTCCTCCTCTTTTTCTCGCAGCCAGAGCACCATGACAGTGGAGGAAAGACAACAAGTGACTGGTTAGAAAGAATGGGACATGAGGCATAGATTATATCTGGCAAGCAGTGAGGTACACACACTATTAGACAAGGTTTAAATGGAATGTTTTGGAAGCAATATGCCAAGTTACAATGGATACAACTCTGCAGTTTTTGGTTTATTCATTCAAGCTGTAAAAATGCTTTTCTAAGCGTAGATACAAAACATATTTCCCAGCGCCTACAAAACCAAGTATGGCAATTTTTGCAAACTCTGGCGAAAAAACAAATGACTCAATGCACAACAAATGGCACTAACATTTTCAAGAGAGGGCTGGCCAATATGAAGAAATTCAATTATCACAGTATTTGTGGCATTAATATCGGTGTGCTAACAAAAAAATGTTGTTGACCATTGAGGCTTTTACCAAATATTTACACAATAAGATTTTTTGTAAAGAATAATTTGTAATGCAGATGTATTTAGATGCAAAACCAGGAATAAACTACAATTAAGATATTACCACATCCACAATATAATGTGTTATGGATATAATATTGATATATTGCAAGTTTAATTAGACATGTTTATGTTAAATTAAAGATACACTAGTGTCTTACAAAAAGAGCTCATTCATATCATAGCGTACCCTCAAGCAATTATGATTATGAAAGAATGGTGTCAGACCAAAACACATGGTTTCCCCTATCATTACAATACACATTTAAATAAACTAATGGCTGGATATGATGGAAGCTGGCCAAGTGCTGAGTCTCTCGGTGGGCTGCCAGCACAGGGGCTCGGCGCTGTCAGCCAGTGACAAGCTCCGTGTCAACACACTTGAATTCGCAGGAGCACAAGGGCTCTGTATTCCCTCTGGCCATGATACGCGACACACTACTTCCTGGAGGAGTAACTCCGTGCGTTTAGGGCGTGGGTGTGTGGGTTTTGTGGAAGTTGAGAGTTCTGACACGAGGAAATGTAGTCATAATGGTTTGAGTATCTGTTACCACTACCACACGCAGACTAGCATTTCCTCTTGTTTTCTCGGCTAAGTCGCGCGGTAAAAATAGCTTCTGTAAACTACGTAACATGCGATAGCCCTATATTAAAGCTACATTCACTTTCCCTCGGAAACATTCCCAAAGCCAGGTGAAATTCCATTGAAATTCATAGTATAAAAAGTCCTATCAGTGAAGAGTGGCACATTTGGACGTGCACTATTGGGGTTAGGTTTTCTGTTAAGTAAAAAGCTGTTTTAGCATGTATGCCAATGGGTAGGCTGCAGTGAAACTTTAATATCATGCACCTAGCTTAGCTATAACACAAGTTCGCTGCTTTATTAGCCACAAGTACCACACACAAGTGCTCTGTGATTATGCGAGTGCTTGTATTTGGGATTATGTTATGCCTTCCCCATGAGCCATAAAGATATTTCTCAATGTATCATGCCAATAACATCACCACTGTATTTTTGTTTTCATCCGCATAACAAGTTTTTAGCTGGATAAAATGTGTTGGTGGTTACTCACTTTGCATCGGAGGTCAGAGTTGAATGGTTCTTTGCCGCCGGTCACAATGTACTCCAATGGTTCCTTCGAAAACAAAATGTATCTGTTCTGTTATTCTCCACTTTGGAAACCGCGTTGTTCTTTTAAACCTACTTAACTCATCCCCGCTTACTATGTGCTGAAGACAACCTTTCAAAATGTTACGCCTCAGCCGTGCCACTCTCCGAGACAGATAAAGTGTTCTGTTAAGGCGCTGACTTGGAAACGGTTTGTTGATATAGAAATTACGTTAACGGTTGGATGTGAAAACACAAAACTGTTCTGGGATCTGAGCCGTACAGGGCTTTTACCAGAGAGTCCACCCAATCTGTTCGGTCATTGGTGAGTTTTCTATTAAGGCGTGGTAGAGGATCCACTTCTGTATTTCATTGGCTCGTTGTATTGTCAATCATCAGCTAACGCCTCCGTTGTAAATGCGCTTAAACACCGACAGGATTACAGTGAACAATCGCACTGTCTTGTACAGCATAAGTGAAATATTTCTTATCAATGTATAGACATATATCAATATTATTAAGAAGCTACATTTTAGAAAATAAAATAAGTTACGATTTTGAACTGATAATATATGTAACTTTCCTTAATTATTCAAATCATTACATATAGGCAATTCATTTGCATCATCAATTTAAACTGGGTTGAATTTTTTATTTTCTATCAATATTAGCATTGCACATGTTGGAGGATCTATTAAGCTTAGCCTTCTTAATATCTGCATAAAATCACTAACATCTACAAATAATGTAATCAATGTTTTGCATTGGGGTTTTGATGCTGCCATGTAGTTCTAGGAGAAACAATAGTATAGTTAGATTTGTAATTAAATTAACTTAAACTCGACAAAACACTGTTTTGATAAATGATATCTTGTTTAGCAGTGGTAAGCATCACATGGGTGAGTTTTGTTAAACTGTTTGATAGCTCCCCCTACAGGCAATCTTAAGATACACTGCAATTGCAACAAGTAGTCAGTCAATCAACAGAAAGGGCACATGTAAAGAATGTGAGTCGATTATTTTACAAAAAAAGAATTGAAAAATAAATCAGATGTGTCTTCAAAAAGTTGAGTTAGACAAGTGTATCTTCAGTCACTTTTAGTGTGTGTGTGCGTGTGTGTGTGTGTGTGTGTGTGTGTGTGTGTGTGTGTGTGTGTGTGTGTGTGTGTGTGTGTGTGTGTGTGTGTGTGTGTGTGTGTGTGTGTGTGCGTGTGTGTGACCCTACTGACCACTGAACAAGGACACTGCTGTAGATTGACCTCCAACTTTCCCCTCTAATATTTGCATCACATTAAATATCAGCAAAAAACATTTTTTACATATCATATTTCATATTTAAACACATTATCTTGATTTCGTTTTTAAAAAATGTATCTGATAGGCTAATATTGATCTTCTTAGGTGTACTCTATATTTTGTATTTGTCAAGTAATTGAATGAGGAACCGAGCATTTCACAGCAATATGTGATAAATAAAAACTTGGAGCAAATCCTTACAAATACGATGTTTTCAAATTCAGCAAACAAATTAGTGGACACCTGATGAATTAAAAATATCAAACAGAATTTGCATCAAACACATGAATTCATATAAAAGGGTGCGTGTGTTTCCATCTGCCTGTGTGTGAACAAGTTCCAGAAATGGGCAAACAATAGCAGTGCACTCTTTTGTGCCCCCCTTGTCCCAACATTAAAGTGTGTTGTGTGCCAAAACGCTGAGCCACAGCTTCTTTTGTCCTCAGCCTGGGATATGATGTGGGTATATTGTCTGGGAACAATGGAGCCCAGCAGCCCTCTTCTGACAGATAGGCTTCTCACTCTGAAACATCAATTCAACCTGGCCAAAAAAATGTGAAGAGACTACTCAGCATGCACACAATGCTTCATTTCATCGGCCTAATTATAGACTTTGCTTTCCAACATACTTATTTGTAATACTTTTGAATGATTTATATATTTTATGACACATGTTTTTATAATATTTGCATATTTTCCCTCTGCAATACTCTCACCAGTGTTTAATGCCCCAGGGTATGTGTTTAGGATGGTCTGTTAGTCTATGGATGCACTGTGTAGGGAAATATGCTGATCTCTTGCTCCTTGCTTTGTTACCATAACACCACTAGATGTCAGGAGAGAACAAATCATTGCCTGCTGTAGGTCTTTAATGCTCTAAACACATTTGATCCACAGCTTTTGTAGGAAATGGGAAAACTGGGTTATTTATTCTAAACAGTTGTAAATGCAGTTGTGGGTAAAAAATGACAATCCATCCAGCAAAAATAAAAAGGTATACGAGTTTTAGCGGACTACAACAACTAGTGTGTGTCCCGGATGTTGCCATCGGAAGGGGGAGGATGTGGGTTGCAGTCAAGTTGCCAGATCTGTACAAAACCCAATGTTGTCAATCTATTTAATTGATATTCCATAACTGCTCGATTAGCTTGAACATTAATGGAATAAGTCATAATCCTTACACTTGGGACTGATAGGAGTCTTACTCTCTATTCCTCCATTTGTTTTGTTACAATATCAGTGTTTATTAAGCATTTGTGCTAATATTGTAGTAACATTAATAGTTATAAGTGAATGCAATTAAATACGTGTTCATGTATAAACCAACAGGAAAACACCCCCCATGTTATTTAGATGACATTACATGGTTACTTGACACTTTTCCTAGGTATTATTGCTTTATAAAGGGGTTATCCCACTGGTTAGTGTACAATATCTGGCAACCCAGCGCGCAGCTCTACTGCTACGTTTTGTGAGATACGGCTGTGTCTGAGTGGGAGATGGACTGAGTGAGGGCGCTCTTTCGACCAGTGCTGCTGATAGCATTGAAATACACACAAGCTAGGTTGAAATTATTGACAATTTTAGATCTCCAAATCAACAAGAAGAATAGAGTACCGTGATCAATCTTTCACATCCCACTCCACACACACTAACACGGCATTGATGGTAATGTATGCAAGGAAACAACCGAGACTCGGCGATGGGTAAACATATTTTTAACGTTACTTATTCTGATTTTCCTTTAACTCGTAGCTACGCTTTTACAATCCGCCATTTTTACTGAAACCAAAATAAGTGCATAGCAATTTAGACGTTCAGCTGTTGCTGCTCTTAGAACTATTTATATTATTTGACATTTAAAACGTTATATTCACAACTGTCTTTCTTTTTATTTGCAGGTGCGACCGAAGAGATACTCAGCCCTATCAGGTACTTGTTAGCTTACTTTAGCCTGTTAGCTTGCTAGCAGCAAATAAGATTAAAATGGACACTCTAGTTCAGGCTTCTGGAAAGCACAACAGGCCGCAGTCAGTGCGGAAAATAACGTGAAAAGTGACATATTGTGTTCGAAATTACCGTCTAAACGCTGCAAATACGTTCAGACGTGGTTATTACCAGGCAACGACAACATAGTCTGGATGTTTCGTCGAATTCAGCTGTTTTTGAAAAGGTACAGACGAGTTTAGTTGCAGCTCAAAGCTAATGATAGCCTGTTACAGTTAGCTTGGTTGCTAGTCAGTCCGATTAGGGCCTGACCGCAATCTGTCATTTTAAGGATATAGCTAGCTAAGCTTCCGAAACATTAAAGGGGCTCCTAATGAATACTGCAAAACCACGTATAAACCACTACATTCAAAATATAGTTTATAACTAATGACGAAGGTGAATACTAGGTTGTTTTATAAAACCTTCTGTTGACTTCCTTAATCCGAAAAATAAAAGTCATTATACAAAAGTGCATTGTTACTAAGTGAGCATTCACTATAGTTGATATTGTGGCACTAACGCGACATATATTAGTCTTCTACTTTGAAACCATACATAAATAGCTGTTTGAATCCAGATTAGCACCCCTAACCAATTACTAAAATATTCATAGCAAGTTCGTTTTTCACTTTGGTACATTGAACAGCCCAACAAGGGGTGACACTGGTTTGAGAGACATTGTGATGATGATGATACAAGGAGGAAATCAGTCTTCGTACAAAATATTGGATTGTTGTGAGGTGTTTGATTTGTGTTTACAGGCTCTCAAATACTCGTCCAAGAGCCATCCAGGAGGGGACCACCGACATGAAAAGATGCGAGACTCCTCAGATGTCACTCCTCCCTGCAAAATGCTCAGGAGGTCTGACAGCCCTGAAAACAAACACATCGACAGCACAGGGCACAGCAGAGCAAAGGCTGTCCATACACACCGGGCCAGAGACAGGGATGGAGGTGAGAGTGGTTATTGAGACTATATAATGGGTTTAGATTCAAAACAAACTGCACTACGCCTCTTCAACACTGAAACACTGCAGCTGTATACTTCATTCTTGTTACCCTCAGATATAAGTACAGCCAAGTAGTAAAGTAGTAGTTATTTCAGAGGCTGAAGTTACATAGATGCACTGAGGAAATGTGGTAGAAACCAACCAAATATCTATAACAAAAATCACTTAATTTCAACCAGTGGAGTAAATGTCAGTTGTCGGCAGTTAATTTCTATAACTGAAACCACAAAAATAGATGTTGTTTGATGTGTTTACATTCTAATGCAGTGTAGTGAAGTGGAATATGGTTGTATTCATTTGAATTTTTTCCGAAGTAAAACATTTTGAATTGACTGGATTTATTTTAAGGATTGTGGAAAAAGCTGAAAGGCAGTTTTATCCATCTATGTGGTATATGTGATGTGGGGCTGATTCTAGTTTATTATGGTGGTATTGTGCTGAGTTTCAAAACATTTGATTTGTGTAGCCTGTTTTTCAAATTTGTATAGTTATAACATATGCGTAAGACTAATCCAGAACTGCAGTAGCCACTGCTGTGTTTACAACATCCGTCTAAAGACAAGCGGCTACAAAACTAATAAGGATGTATAGTATTTTGCGGTTCAATGGTTGATGGAGATGTTGTGGGTTACTTTGTAGATCAAGATGAAAATATGACTCATAACAACACAAAAACAGTTACAGGAATGTGTGTACAATGTGCATAAACCCAGTGTTGCTTTTTATTCTGAGATGTATAAGATTGGATATTGTCTATGCTTTAGATAATGACAGGCTGTTCAAAAAACAAAGTGACAGCTTACATTGATTCAGCAGTCTTCTGCTATAGGAAGCTGCCTATTAGGGCTTTGTTTTTGATCAAACTGAGTTTCTATACAAACGCCAATGTTGTTTTTAGGTATGAGATCAAGTTAAATGACAACAAATGCTGCTCACGTTATTTTCTGGTTCTAGCTATAGCTCGTGAACACTATAAGCTTGTTATTTATAACTCAAATTACTTGCAAATGTTGACAGCCTAACCTGAGAAGTAAGAATTACTTACTTTGGATCCTATAGGTTTGGCGAATAATTTCAAATCAGAATCACACATGCCATACAGGCCAAAGTACTCATAGTGTAAGATGGCTGAAATGAGCTGATCTCGGGGGGAAACGCTGCTTTTTTTTGAGGATTGACAAGTTGACGCTGGAAAGTGGTACAGTGGCGTATATCTTGTGTGGACATGCATCAAGATACCGCCAGTGTATGGGCTTGAATACAAAAACAATGGATGTGGTGCTTTTGACGCCCATCTTGCATTGCCATGTTTGCTGCCCTTCTATTTCCCATTATCTTCTCTGTGCATATTGAAAAGGGATGAATGGAAAAGCTTTTATGAAAGCCAAACCAAGCTCATTAAAGTGTCTGCTGTAATTTCAGCTACAGGTGAGAGTTCTTCATCGGTTATTGGCCTCCCTGGAAAAATAGATTGTTAATTGCAGACTGGGTAATGTGTAGTCTTTTTAGAAACCATCTCTTGTGATTGGAATAATGTTTTTACTAATGAAAATGGCTATGTAATCATGGATTCATTATTCGGAGCCAGCAGCTATCGTGATTTTAAATTGGTTTGACTGTGCATAGGAGGCTGTGACAGGGGGATTGGAAATGTACCTACAACAAGTCCTGTGTGGTTGATAGCGGGAAAATAATTAAATAGTTGAAAATCAGAACCAACTTTGTCACACAAGTATACTTAATGACTAAATTACTCATATTACTTCGGCCAGTCTTACTCATTAGTAACTTTTGGATGTTCCCAAAATCCGTTATGCCACAAAGCTATTGGACCAGCATTATTATTATAAAAAATGTTGCGGGGCTTCTGAAAAGAGCTTATTGTGGAGGCACTTTACTTTCTCTTAAATACCTGCATTACCAGGACTAAATTACACAGTATACATTTGAATATTTAAACTGTCATCTAGTGAGTACGTTGCTACGTCGATAAATCAATCACTTGTTGTTAAATACCTGGAATATCTAAGCGCAGAGGCAAACAAATCTCCCATTGATCCTGTTTAACAAAGATAGCCAATAGTAATGGACTGCATTTATATAGCTCTTTTATTTTTTGCAACACCTCAAAGCGCGTTTACATATATTAGTCAACACTCGCATGTTAAAGCACATTCATACAGATGCAAGGGATGCCATACATTTTGGAAAATGTGGGTTCAAATCAAACGTAGAAAACCTTCAGGTAGCAGGCCCTATGTGTCACTTGTGAAAATGTCAAACTTCACAGGCTGTAGTTTAAAAACAACCACAGCTAATTAAAGTGAATTATCTAACGGATAAATAGAGTATTCTGTCTGTCGGATTATTTTCTCTGCAAGGTGCCCTGTTGTAGACATGATTTGAACAAGCTGTCTTTGAACATATTTTTGAAGTTCAAATACAAAAAGCTTCTGAAATGGAAGGGTCTCTTACTCCTAATGATTCGTTTGAGTCACACTGACATCATTAATTACACCTGGCTGGAGAGTCAAGTTCTGCATCCACTGTTGTTCATTTGTTGGGGGCTTTTGTTTATCGAGATCACTGTGCATTGCAGTGGTTGAAACGGAACATACTGCACCGTTTTTTGACCAGCTGAAATAGACAGAGTGAAATATCTGTAAAAATATGATATTATAGAATTGAATGGGCCCAAATGATTAACTAAATTGGGAACCTGAATCATATTGAATATACCTGGAAAAGACAAATCATGCTTGCCTGAGAGCCTGTAACTCTCTCATGCACAGGGTTAACACCCTAATATACTTTGTGTTGAGTTGGACCTTGGTGTTGGGAAGAAAAAAATATGGCATTGAACACCATGTACAGAATGTGATCTCTTAAACCAGGAGATGCAAATATCAAAGATCAGTGAAAATGATAGTCTAAAAAAATACCCAGAGCGCAACACTGTCAGGCAACGACTTGCAGAGTTTAGGAACGGGGTAAGGAATCTGTCAGTTTATACAGGTTAGACACTTAAACACATTAATTGCAGACAATGGCAAGAAAAACACACAGAAAGACCTCAAAGTTACACTTTTCTCAGAATGCTTTCAGTAAAGTCCTCCCAACTAAATCTATAGCATCTCTCTAGACAGAGAAATACAAACATTCAATTCTCCATGGAGAACATGTGAGCCTTTTCCTTTTAACATTATAAAGCCAACTTGCAACGGATGCTTTGAGTTCCTCTCGTCAAGGCTGTATCATTGATAACCCTGCACAGTATGGTCAAATCCTTTTTAAATTCTGTTCAATTCAAGTAATGCAGCGTGAAGGCCTACATTACATTGTAGGGAACTAGGTTTAATAGGACAATGTATTGTGGACGATAATTGGTTACAAACATGGGTTATGCCATTTCAAACAAGGTTGTGGGTGAGATGAAGTGATGACATTTGTAAGCCACGCACAGATTTGAGATTCACTTAAGAATAACGGTATTATTATTATTAAGGTTTTAAACAGATTTTGTAGCAACATTTGGGACATGCCTGTCCAACTCAAGGATAAGTTGGATTGTAAACTGTTTTGTAAACTATTTTCTTTATTCGCTTCAAATCACCTTTTAGTATTTCCACACATTTTTCGCACGTTTTTTTTTATCCCTGACACCTATGGTATAATTTTCATGATCAAGCTGCAGGTGAAAGTACAGTTAAATGCCCTATTAGATGCTGTAGTTTACAAGTTGAATCATTATGTTGCACTTGTGGTTGTGCCCCAGATTGTTGCCAGTCCTGTGTGTGTACAGATTGCAAAACACGGCTCCGATTATTTGGGTCAATAATTGATATCACGATTATTAAAAACGATTATCCATTTACTTTAAAAACATCAATTTATTGGAGAAAAATGTTTTGAGCAGTATGTTTTGATTACCCTGAACTTTAAGTATAATTTAACTGAAAAACCAATTAAAAAATAAATAATAATAATAAAGAACTAATCGTTTTATTTCGATTACGTTGTTTTCGTAATCGTTTGCAAGCCATAATCGTAATTGCGATTTCAAATACAATTAATTGAGCAGCCCTACCGTGTGGCCCCAAAGACACGAGTGCTCACTGCGTCCTCCCTCTCTTGCTGCTTTATTTGAGAAAAACCTTTTCACCAAAAGTTTTCAATCCAAGTCTTCCTCTGCCTCTCTGAAATGTTATTATACTCCTGAAGGACGTTTAAAAAATGTTACAAATATACAATTATCCTCAAGTGCTTACATGGCATCTAATAAAAGTTTGACAGATTTGAGAAGATAGGATCAACAGAAGTGTGTTCAGTCTTGCTCTCTGATAGCTTCACTTATTCTGTTTCCTTTAGTGGTGTTGGCAGTGTGTTTACATCAGAAACACCAGGGAGGCAGCACAAGTAGTGGGACAGATTTGTAACCAATTTTAAGAAATACTGCTACACAAATGGACTTCTGATCTTGAGCTTTTTGTTAAAAAAAGTGTTTATAATGATTCTACACCCCTATGCTCTTGATTTACCCTTCCAAAAGATGATGCCATATTTATATTATCGTGGCAGCTTTATATACATTGAGAAACATTTTGGCAGGACACTTTTTGAAATTGACAGTGCTATCGTTTCATATAGGGGATACTCTACCAAAAGCATATTTTGTAGGGATGTCCCGATCACCTTTTTCTGCTTCCGATTCCGATCATTTGATTTTGACAATCTGCCGATACCGATTTTTCCCGATCCGATCTTTATGCAATGCATTAAGAGAAAAAAAAGGAAAAAAGCATTCAAGTTGTCCCTTAAGGTTATTTTTTTATTTAAATGACAGTACCCAACTATCCATTCTATCCACATGGATATAGCTTCTTTTTTTCACACCAGCATTGGATCAGTTCAGTTGTGCAGCATTGGATCAAAACAAAAATAAAGCTTATCAGTGGTCCACCACAAAATAACCATGTAAACAAATTGAGTGCAGATAGTGCAGTAACAAAACAAAAATAACTACTGGAAAGAGGTAGCTTGACTAGCTTCACAAGTTCACATTCAGTCACAAATAATAAAATAAAAAATGTGGCTTAGTGCAGAATTCTAGTCTAGTAATAATGCAATGAACAACAGCAGCTTAACATAACATGAATAAACAAAGTATTATATTTCCATCTTACTGGAGTAACACAATTCAATAGTAATCAGCAGCGAACCACTTCAACACTTGTGTTTCGGTGTATTCACGGCATTAATTTTGTTATTCTACAGTATTGTTGTTTTATAGTTATTTGTTAATGTAACCCAATTTGTGTTCTTTGAAATTGAAAAGGATATCGCATTGTGTTTGTTACTTTCGTTGCAGTTGTATATGTCTTAAGTGTAATTTGGCTTGGCTTCCTATTTGTGGACATGCTTTTATTTTGAAGGAGAGTTAGCGCTGTTGACAGGAAGTTGTTGTTGCTTTGGAAACAACGTGACGGAGATTAACGGAGAAAAGTAATATCTACATATAAAGACGGAGAAAGTAAACGATAACGTTTATGGTTAAGTGTTAGCACCCCCTGAAGAGGCACAGCTCTTACGTTGATATTGGAGATTTCAATAATTCAATTTGAAAAAAAAAACGGGGGGGAAAAATGAAAAAAACAAACAATCGTATTAGATTGGTCGTGTTGAACGTAGCTCTGTTTCTTTCCACCACGCCGGAACCTCCTTCTTGCAAACATTGCATCTGGCTGTTACACTGCCTTCGCTGTCAATTTTATAATACTTCCAAACTCCTGACATTTGCTCTGTCCCGACTCCCGAGTCGCCAGCTAAACGTAGCTCTCGTTAGCTTACTGCTACTATTAGACACTGGCCCACTCTGTTGCCAGATTTGAGAGAAATAAGCAACCAGGTCTGAAAACAAGCCCAAAAGAAGCAACACATACATGATGTTGTGTAATTTTAAACCAAAACTAAGGCCTCAGGATGACTTTAAGACGTGAACATGGTCATTTTTGTTTTGTAACATTAAATAACATAATTTTTTTTAAGGATTCCCGATCCCCGATCTTTTTCTCCCCATTCCGATCTTTTAAAAATCACGTGATCGGATCGGGACATCTCTAATATTTTTGTTAAATTGCGGTACAGGATGTTATAGTACAACTCAGATTTAAGGCATTGGAGACAGCGTGCATCATATACATGACATCATTAGAAATGTATAACCAAAATCCCACAGTGGGACTGCTGCTACTACCCACATTTACAAACCAACAAATGCCAATATGACACAAAATCAACCAGAATTCACAGGCTAGCTAGTGTAAGGCTAAAGCTTGAGGTTTCTACTCATAAAAGTGTCAGTGCTGTGACCAAAGCTTGTTTATTGTGTCGCCAAATGTACATGACGGCAGCGCAAATAGATGACGACATGTTTCTGCTTGAATCATTTATTTGTATTTAAAGTGTAGCTCTACTCTTCATCAGGTATTTACTGCACATTTTGACATGCCTGCTGTCTGTCATAGTTTTCAAGCAACACATACTTTACAGCTCCCTCTTGCACAGTGATGCAATAACACTAAAAGTAATTGCATATGATGTATACTAGTTCAGAACTCAACTCGGAGCTCTAAACCATGGAATGACTTCTTTACATTTATTATTTAACAGACGAATGCAAGTGTCGAACACAGACACAATCCTCTTGCTGGATGAGGTGGCATTTTGCTCCTGGCTACTTTGGTTAACTATTTTCATTATAAATAATATAATTGATTTTCGTTTCACACTCGACAAACACTTTCCCAAAAGGCATCAGAAAACTGGAATCAACATATCAAATAAAAACTTGAGCATAAGGAGTGTTTCTTGTTAATATTTTCTGCAGTTATTTGGATGAACAGTTAGTTTGTTTTACTAACAGGAATATTTATTATTAAAGGTGGGGTAGGTAGGTTTTAGAAACCGGCTCGAGATACACTTTTTGTTATATTCCATGGAATGCTCTTAACATCCCGATAGCAATGACTATCTTAAGTGCTTTGACAAAAAAGACATTAAAAAATGTCATCTGTGGAAGCCGTAGTACTGTAAAAAGCACGACCAATCATTTTAGCAGGCCGGCTAAAATAACTGGATGGCCTACCTGCCTGTCAGCCTTCCATCTGTGCACAAACTTATCTCGTGCCCTCATTGGTCATGTGTGCGTTCATGTGTGTTGGAGGAGGGGCTCTGTGAGGAAGTGGCAGATTTGTTCCAGTTGTGTATTTTCAAATTCTAGCGCATTCGAGCTGGTTTCTCCAAAATTACCTACCCCACCTTTTAAAGCTATAGTGTTCAATTGAAACTTGTCACCTTTGGCAAGTTGAATTAGAAATAGGTCATCTTTGTGATTTGTTTTTAAAAGGAGGGTAGGGGCTAGAGGGGGTTTACATCTTTGTCACAAATTACTGTCGTTGGCTGTTACTGATGATGTCTTTCCCTCTTTTTGTGTTTTGTTGCAGGGACCAGTTTTTCTCCACAAGAAAACCCTCACAACCACAATTCCCTTCATAGCTCCAACTCACATTCTAACCCCAGCAAGACCTCAGACACAGTAAGTGTTCCCTTCGCCTCGGCACAGTGGACTAAAACACAGCACAACACAACAGTTTTTCTTGGTAGTTTATGCTGTACTGTAGTTATACAACACTGATCTTAGATATGTGTTTTGAAACAATCAGTGCACAACCTTAACTACTACATATAGTTGCATTGCTATCGTTTGAACCAAGAGAATGGAGAGAGCAAAGTGTGTCATAGCCAATTCAAAATCTGCAGGCTTGATAATCGATGATATATTGCCACATAGAGCGATCAGCCACACTGTTACGGTAATTTCGAGTTTGCTTAAGTAATGGACATGATTAATTTCTATGGGCTTGTCTCGTCATATCAAGACTTCCATGAAGCACTGGATTACACTCTAAAATGGTAACGTGTGCAATTTTGTTCTAATTTTCTGCATTCCGTTTAACTTTGGTTACCTCGGGTATCATGATCACTATCAGAAATAAGCCTTGCCTTCCGCTTAAAAAGCTTCTGCGTATATCTTTTGTACTTTTCAGATGTCATTACAAGCTCTTGCATCACATCCCCTCACAACACCCTTGCACACAATAGTTTTCTGGCTGGCTGGCTCCTGCAGCTTAATATGTGCTCTTCTTCTTCACAGCCTCACGAACCCGGGGACGACTGGTCAGAGCACATCAGCTCGTCCGGAAAGAAATATTATTACAACTGCAGGACAGAGGTGTCCCAGTGGGAGAAGCCTAAAGAATGGTTGGAGAGGTAGCTACAAACCCTTGACGTCAACCGCTTGTTTGTACATACTCCATACATTTGAGTTTTTAAATAGGTGCCTCGTAGAGATTGGATAAACGGATAACTGGTTTCATGCATACTTGTTTGTGTCTTACAGAGAACAGAGGCAAAAAGAGACGACAAAGACTGCGGTTGTCAACAGTTTCCCCAAAGACAGGGACTACAGACGGGAGGCTATGCAAGCATCGGCAGCCCCCGGCTTCACTGCAGCTAGTAAGTGTTAAGAACATCATAAAAACACACATTATCCTCACCAGTCCGCTGCGACTGGTGTTAATTAATTACATGTCTGTGTTTGATGCAGGGTTTAGTCTAACTGGGTTTACAGGGGCGCTGCGCCCTCTTATCAAAATGTCGATTTTTCCTGTAAAATGTTAAAGGGATGCCAGAAAACAATATTTCTGTTCGTCACAGTATAATTACTCAAAAAATATGAAAATCGTGGCAAATAGACAGTCAGACGGCATAGACAGCTTTGTTTTCACGGCCCTCCGAATAAATAGTGGATTAGTTTCCGGTTGGTCTGCTGGTGGACAAGTGGCAGGCAGCAGGCTTACACCGGGAAGTGGGCAGGGCCGTAATTTGTGCTGCATATCCTTCTTGGCTAGACGAGGATGAGTGTTTCCATCTTTGTCCCCATCTTTGCTTAAAGCTATGTTTAAAAAGTGTTATTAGCTGATGATGACTGTTTTTGAGCTGATCTACGGCAGTCTTGTTCGTTAGTGTTGACACTCGAGATAAGAAAAGATAGTTGTTGTGTGTGATGGTGAATTCTAATCAGATTTTTCCTTATACAATTGCTGCCTGTTCTTGTCATTAGGATGACTTTAACCTGTTAAGCTCCAAGCCTGTTTTTCAGGCCTCAGGCTCAAAAATGACATTCTCAGAACAAATGACCATATCTTCCCTTCTAAAAGCCGTAAATTAATAATCTTTTTTCTCAAAGCAATGATAAACCTGTGAGTTGGATCTAGAAAAGTCAGAATCAATATATAATTGTTTTATTGTAAAGTAAATTCAGATTGAACATAGTAAAAATAAATTTGGATATATATTTTTTTAATCCTATGGAGCAGAGAGAGGAGCTGTGTATTATTGTTATTAATTAATGCATCAGTGTTTCTTAGGGTCAAAAACACTAAACTCACATATTAAAATGAAAGCGTTTAGTTTATTTAATAAAAGAGCACATGTTCAATGTGAAAAGTGACAGTAGATATAGATTAGTTGCAATTTGGTGCTATATATATAAAATAAAAAAAATTAATAAAAATGTTTTTTTTTTTAAAAACACCTTGAATTTCAGGAGGGGCGTGGGGCTCCGTTGGCGGCGCGCAGCGCCCCTCCAAGACAATGGTAGGGGAAACACTGCATTTGACCTTTTTAGAGAGGTTTAGCAAAAAAAAAACACCTTTTTGGGTGTATTTGCCGTTTCTCTGGAACCCATTGGTCGATTTTGGTGATTGACACCTCTTTTTAACCGTTGGAGCCAATAGAATCGAAGGGGAAGTTCCACATACACACACGTTACCATTGCCAAGTGAAAGCTCGCAGTCGAAAGCAATGTTATGCTCTGAAAACTGAAACCTAGGCTCAAACTAGTATATATGAAGATAGATCATCAGGAATAATTTCAAAGTGACAGACACATTGGATTAACCTTCAGCAGCATTTTTATTGTTTTGATGCCATTGAACACAAATGTTGTAAGTAAGAAGCTTCCTCCATGAAGCTACGTGTTGTGATATCTGTTTTCGCTTCCCCTGTCGCGAGTTCGGATCGCTCAGTGATGATAATAATAATATTTCTGGAATCTGTTAGGGCTGTCCCGAATACCATTTTTTGGGCTCCGGATATTCGGTAGTAATCAGCAGCGAATATTCGGATATTCGGCCAGCAGCGAACCGCTTCAACACGTGTATTTCGGTTTTATTCACGGCATTCATTTTGTTATTCTACAGTATTGTTGTTTTATAGTTATTTGTTAATGTATTTAAACCCAATTTGTGTTCTTTGAAATTGAAAAGGATATTGTATTGTGTTTGTTACTTTCGTTGCAGTTGTATATATGTCTTAAGTGTAATTTGTCTTGGCTTCCTATTTTTTATGGACATGCTTTTATTTTGAAGGAGACTTAGCGCTGTTGACAGGAAGTTGTTGTTGCTATGGAAACAACGTGACGGATATTAACGGAGAAAAGTCATATCTACATATAAACACTTAACCATAAACTATAACGTTTTTGGTTAAGTGTTAGCACCCCCCGAAGAGGCACAAGCTCTTGCGTTGATATTGGATATTTCAATAAATTCAATTTGGCAGCCGCAGTGCAGCGCGGCCAAAAAAAACTAATAAAAATACGAATAACGAAATTGAAACCCGAATAGTACTCTAACAAACGGATATTCGGGTACAGCCCTAGAATCTGTGGAATCTCAGCTTGCTAATAGATGTCTTGTTTTTGCTGATACGATAAGTAATAAGGGTATTTAAGCTGTGAGTTCTGTGCTAAGTGCGATAGCATTTTTTCGCTCAGGGCTCATTTAGACGCTTCTTGTGAGACTTCTGTTTTGTTTCGGTAAAAATGGTTCGAATCGTCAGGTAGCTGAGTTTCTTCCCGTTAGTTGGGTATGACACATTCATAGGTTTTTAAATATTAAGAAGCCCTCAGACGCTGTTTCTTGCAGTGATGCGTTTTTTCCCCCGCCCGCGGGGGAATGGGGCTTCACAGGTTAAGCATCATTTTTACCGCTGATATCGAGCAAAGTTGACCATTGACCAAAGTTGTTTTCCGTGAGCGTATCATAGTGTGTGTGATGCAGTATAATTCCGTTCATGAGACTTTACTGCAAAGCAACAGCTCACTTGGATTTCACGTTCATCTCCTGTTGGCCAATTTTTCATCCGAACGTATCGTTTTTTTCTCAGATTCTTTGTCATTTCCATACACACTGCACCATAACTGAGCAAGGCAAACTGTTTCTGATGGATCAGTGTTTCTGTTCTGATACAGTTCTCTCAGTTTTTTTTACACAGGGCAGAAGTGACACAATTCAATTCAGTCTGCATGTCGTCCAGAGTGTACCTCATCTGGTTGTCAACCCTATACAAATAGTCTTGGTGGAAATAGCTGACGTACGATGGGGTACGACCTAGGGTTACATATCGTTGCTTTTTTACGATACCAATACCACTGAACGATACCGATACTCAACCGATACATATCGTGATACTTTCATGTTGCATAAGGGAACGATTTAATCATCCTGCAATTACTCCCATGAAGTGCTTTATGATATAGTTATAATGTCAAATGAATATTAAATTCAATTGTGGGACCTTTTAGTACTGAACAAACAATGAAAAACACATTATCTATGAAGAAAACAGATGATGCAATATCATTTATAACAACCATCAGGTGTGAATAGTACATCTTGGCACCAGAGAAAATAGCACCAATATAATCAATATTCAACCTGAGATTCCAGAGAACACATAAAGGATCATGAGATCTCGGCATTGCACATAAAACAAATAGCATCATTAAAATCAACATTTTCCTGATGAAAGAAAACAAATCTCATCACAGTTCAGTTTTGTGCATTCATCTTCAAGAAGATGAGCATATTTGCTCTCTCTGGATCCAAACGGGCCCTTTCACAGCGTAGGATATCACCTGCTGAACTGAACACTCTCGCTTGGCACGCTGCTTCCCTGAACACAAAGGTACTTGGTTGCCATTCGAGACAGCATTGGTTGGAGGTTGGATGTGTTGCCACCTTTCCCAGAAATAAACTTCTTGCAGTGGTTACAGACCTCACCATTCAGACTGGCAGGCGAGGGAGTGCGGTCGTCTTTCAACCAGAAGGTTGTGTGTTCGATCCCAGCCTGTGCAGTTTGTTTGTTTGTAGCATTTATTTAACCAGGTGAAAGCCCCTTGAGATCAAAAGATCTCTTTTTCAAGGGTGACCTGCAAAACAACATGTCGATGTATCCTTGGGCAAGATACTTAACCCTGAGTTGCTCCAGATGGCATGGCCAACGGTGTGTGAATGTTAGGTCCTAGAGCAAGTGGTACTGCTCTGTATGAATGGGTGAATGACATGTAGTATGTAAAGCGTTTTGAGGGGTCGTAAAGACTGGATAAAGCGCTATATAAGTACAGTCCATTTAACTACATTATTCAAAAGTGTACAGTAATTTATAATAACACGGGAATAATAAACGGAGAGCTCTCTCCCTCTCCTGACAGCCCGTCAGTCCGTCCGTATCTCATGCAGCTCGCTGATCCAGTAATGACTGAGTGACCCGACAGTAAAAATAAACATATCTATAACTAGTTTAGGTACTGTAGTTCGAGAGGTAGGCTAAATACATTTATTAAAATAGCTAAGTGTGATTTTCTAACCTGCAGTGTGTGTTTTTCTCCGCTCACCGATGCAGGTCATTATGCAGAGCTGCGTGTTGACTCGTCTCTCTCTCCTGTCAGATTAGACTTCACTAGCGTTTATGTATATATCGATCAGATCTAGCTATTGAAAGCGATGTCAGGCGCCCAAGCTGAGATTGTATATATTTTCCGCATTTTAACAGTGCAATTAAAAAGTTAGTATAAGAATGTGGCAATTCGCCTTTATTGATAGCATACATTTAGGAGGAAAAGAATATCCGAATAACGAAATTGAAAACCGAATAGTAGGCCAAAGACCAAATATTCGGATATTCGGGTGCAGCCCTACTGAACCTGAGGGTGAAACGCTCCAACAACTTGTCCGAACAAGCTAGGTGTCAAAAACAAAGACACAAAGAATCTGCATGTTGTGTTCTTTCTGGATTCATTGATGTGGGTTCACTAACCCCATGTTCATTACATTGCCTTTTTTAGGACAATTTCCCAGAAGTCATTCTGTCACGAGGGACATTGTCACTGTTCACTTGCTGTGGAAAGCTAGTGTTGATGTTTGAAACTCCTGTTGATCGTAACACTTGCTGAATATACTTTATAATAAATGATCAATATATGATAGTTGGCTAATCAAGACCAGTGTTAGACTCATCCGAGCTAACGGCTCCTAATAACTGTGGGTGAACACATGTCAGGAACTCTGTGTTGCATTAGAGGCAGATGGAGATGTTCTGCCCTCAGTCAAAATGTTGACTGAAGCTGACGTTCAGTTATTACTAGGGATGTAACGATACCAAAAACTCACGGTACGATAATATCGCGATAACAAGTCCACGGTACGGTATTTATCGCGATATTGAATAATAATAAAGAAAAAAAAAATTGTATTTTTATTTATTACATAATAAATCTGATTTGTACAGCATTTTAGTAGGATAGCAGTATTTTAAAGTGTCAAAAACAAAGTGACAGTCACAGACTGGAACAAGAAAACCAGTGTTTTTGTACCTATAGTACTACCAAACAAAGTACACAAATAAACAAGGACATTTAATAATCAGACCCTGCAATAAAATAAATCAAGTTTCACTTTAGTTTTTCAAGTAACTCAACTCAAACTCACTAGTCACTCACTAGTCACTCACTCAGCATCATCAGACAGGTTTTTAGGAATATGAGAATGTCCACATTTCCAGGTATTTATAAGCTGGGATGTTTGGGCATTTACAATATCCCCTGCTCTGGAAAAAACTCTCTCGTTTGGTAGACCTACTGATGTTGCTGGGACAGCAGTGGTCGCGTTAACCGAATATTTTATTTATCAATGACGGAAAAATCTGAAAGCAGTCTGTCATTTTGACAGATTAGAACAAACTCGGAACAGCGCCAACGTTTCCCCGCAGCGAGGCTCTGGTGTTATGCCGTGTTATGCATGCCCTCCAAAAGGAAATTATATAGTTTCCAAACCGTACTTTGCCGTACAGATCAACACATGTCTGGGAGGTTTTGCTTTACGCTGTGTGCTCTCCCGCGGGGTGCATGCACACACAGCATAACACCGCCCCCCCCCCCCCCCCCCCCCGTTGACAGTTCACGAGCGTGCTCTCTTGTGAACTGTTCAGACCCGACGGGTAATAAGGGATTATGACGGACATTTTACGATCCTGTCTGTCAAAATGACGGACAGCGAAAAAGTCTAACGCCACCTCAGTGGGACGGAGAGATATGCTTTGGCCATGGGTGATAGCAGTGGGTCAAACTGTGCATTGTCTCTCCACCACTTCAAAAACAATACAGTTTTTGCCAAGAAGGTGAGGCTTATTGACAGGGCGAGATATAAATATACTGTTGGTACTTGTCAATGTCTCTAGGTGTGTAAATGTAGCACTGTAAATACGATGTCCTTTTGTGTTCTGTTGTTTTATGTTCACTTGCTGCAATGTTGGACAGGTCTCTCTTGTAAAAGAGATCGATGATCTCAATGGAACCACCTGGTTAAATAAAGGTTTTTTTCTTTTTTTTTAAACCCGGTAGATTTGGTCAGTCTCACGACGGTATTGGGACGTTTATTTACCGCGATATTCGGTATATCGTTACATCCCTAGTTATTACTGCCCTACCTTGACAACTAAATCAACTATAACGCCCCGTCCACACAATAGCTTCGAAAAAAAGCTTGGAGCTGAGCGTGTCTGAAGCTCGACCAACAACCAATCACATGAATCTCCCGCCCCTGACACACAAGCAGCGGTTTGATTCGCTAGAGCAAGGGTGCCCACACTTTTTTGGCTGGTGAGCTACTTTTGAAATGACCAGCTCACCGGGGTCTACCAACCAAAAATAAAATCCCAAATTGCAAGGGTTGCTGAATAACACGTTTTATTTATACATGGGATAACTACAATAGGGCTGCAACAAACGACTCATTTGATAATCGATTAATCTATCGATTAATCGACTATTAATCTATTACTATTACTGTATGCCTTGCACAATTTCTCAAACGCTCTTATTTAGCCATCAACTTTTAGATTTAGCTTGAGGTTGTTTTAGGCATGTGGAAATTAACAATGAAGACAATAAAGATGAATACTTGATTCAAAAATACATATATTATTAAATTAACTTAACAAATTGTGAACAAAATTAACATTGCTTTTTATTTCAATAAAATAAATAATATTTCACACCAAGTAGGGAATGAGTCCTTACCCCAAGTGAAGGAGTTCAAGTATCTCGGGGTCTTGTTCTCGAGTGAGGGAACAATGGAGCGTGAGATGGGCCGGAGAATCGGAGCAGCGGGAGCGGTACTGCAGTCGCTTTACCGCACCGTTGTGACGAAAAGGGAGCTGAGCCAGAAGGCAAAGCTCTCTGTCTACCGGGCCATTTTCGTTCCTACCCTCACCTATGGTCATGAAGGATGGGTCATGATCGAAAGAACGAGATCGCGGATACAAGCGACCGAGATGGGTTTTCTCCGCAGGATGGATGGTGTCTTCCTTAGGGATAAGGTGAGAAGTTCGATCATCAGGGAGGGACTCGGAGTTGAGCCGCTCCTCCTTCGCGTCGAAAGGAGCCCGTTGAGGTGGTTCGGGCACCTAGTTAGGATGCCACCTGAGCGCCTCCCTAGGGAGGTGTTCCAGGCACGTCCAGCTGGGAAGAGACCAAGGGGTAGACCTAGGACCAGGTGGAGGGATTATATCTCTTCGCTGGCCTGGGAGCGCCTTGGGATCCCCCAGTCAGAGCTGGTTGATGTCGCCAGGGAAAAGAAAGTTTGGGGCTCTCTGCTGGAACTGCTACCCCCGCGACCCGACCACGGATAAGCGGGAGAAGATGGATGGATGGATGGACATCAAAAGAAACAACAATGTTTTAACAAATCCTATTAAATAATCTGATGACAGAATTGTAAACAGAATAGCTGAAACTTTAACAAAATAAATAACTCAGTTACCTCTAATCATTAACCCATGTTTGTATCATTGAGTTAACTCTGTGTGTTGCTGCTAGCATACATAACACCTGACATGGAACCGTTACTCGTGGATGGGGCTACAGAGCTACTAGAAAGACAGTCGAACCCGGTGCATTCCTCCGTCTGAATGTGGTGCACTTTTGCTAAATGTTTAGACAAATTGCTCCGCCCTTACATGCTAAACACTCTTGGCAAGGAGCATTGTCCACCTCAAGACGGGTAACATTTAACCACACTTTGGAGCGCTTCTCTCCGCCATCTCCTCCGTGTGTTGCTGCATGTAGCAGCCGCGTGTGTAAACTGCCCCGCCCCCCTCGCACACAGACGGGGGAGAGAGAGATCTCGTCTGGATTGGAAAGGTCGAAAATACACCGACCATAGGCGCATTTGTTTGTCTTTTTGCATGTTAGAAACGAGTTGGCGACACTAAGACTGCAAGATAATGTTTTTGTAGCAATAATACATGACCTTTCTCTTTCTCAACTCGCTACTCGGAGGGAAGTCGCTGTCATATGCCTTGTGAACACTCCGATAATGCCTCTCCACGTTACCTTTCTTTGGCAGAGCGACACTTGCTTTACAAATAAGGCAAATAACCTTTGAATGTGACATCACAACAAAATATTCTCCCTCCCACTCTGGGTGGAAGTGGTTTGTCTTTAGCTTCTTGCTCGGGTCCCGCACTCATTTTGTTGTTTGTCTCTTATTTGTCTCTTTAACTTAATTTGAGTTTTCCCGGTTTTCCCGGCACTGGAAAGCGATAGGTCGCTTTTTTTGTGAATCAAGTAAACTCCGGAATTAAGTGGCAGGGAGGCCAAGGGAGGAGGAATCAAAACCTGTTTTGTCTATTTTAACGGAGCTGAATGACTCGCGATCTACCAGCATTGCCCCCGCGGTCGACGTACTGGGCACCTCTGGGCTAGAGCTTGTGCTGGCATATGATTTGATTCCACCGAAAGCTTCAGAAGCTTCAAAAGTTGAACATTGCTCAACTTTTGCAGCCTGAAACGCCAGGAAAGCTCTGCTCTGCTTCCCACAATGCAGTTCGGCGAAAAGTGACGTCACCCCATTCAAAGTGAATGGGCAGACGCGTTGGAAACCGTTTTTGAAGCTGTAGTGTGGACGGGCCGTAACACATTTTCAATTCATGTTGCAAAAGCAAATATTTAGTTGTCGGGGTACCGTCTTATCCAGAGAGCAGTGCGCTTAAATAGCAAAGGGGGGCCTTCTTCTGGGGGGAATGTTATTCAAGGTCCCTTTAGAGACAATGAAATGCATTTGAAGAAATCCAGATGAACAGAATAAAAGGTTTATCAGAGGGCAAAACATAACTGTTAACTGTTTTTAATTCGGAGTGGAGTCTACCAGGAATGTGTGCTCCCTTGCATGTGATGGAGCCTGTTGTACAGCCAATACTGCTATAGTTAAACCCTCTGTTGGCATCATGCTGAGATGCCAGAGTATCCTTAAATGAATGAGAGGGCTGTTTTATTTCCTTTTTTTATTTGCCTTCACATTTTCTAGTTTGAATAACTCGCAGATTGTAGTATGTATTGCTTAGAAGCTCAAGCAAGTCTGCACCTGTCCTTGTCTCCTGATGTATGATATCTTGTCACAGAATGTCATGCAGGGCCATAAACCCTATTTGTAGATTGCCAGAAGTTGCAGGGCCGAATCTCTGTGTGTCTTTTTATATGCATGGCTTCTGCACAGCCAAAGGATGTGATAGCATTCCATAATGGGGCTGATGAGTGCTTTCCCTTGCTCAATGTTGAGCAACTGCATTATCACTTGGTGAGAATTGATTTGTGAGACTGCCTTTGTTGATGGAATGGCTTCCTCCTTTCTGCAGAGTCAGCCCAGGTGGAGAAGCCTGCAGCCACGCAGTCATCGTCATCTTCTGGCTCTGGGGGCTTGAACGCCTCATCGGGGCCCCACGGATCATCAGCCTCCACGGTGCCTGTGTCCCCAGTCCTGCAGTCCCCTGCCCCCCCACTCCTCCATGACCCCACCCTGCTCCGCCAGCTCCTCCCAGCACTTCAGACCGCGCTGCAGCTCAACAACGCCAGCGTAGACATGGCGAAAATCAACGAAGGTAAGAAAGAAGGCAGACGTTGCGTGACAACTGTCTCCATTCAGCTGGCTGCAGTGGCACTTTGATGAGCACTAGTTACAGGGCGACACTTTGAAATGATACCATGTACTGCTCTCTGCTTTTGGACTGACGTGAAAATGATTCCTCCAAGGGAAATTAAACTGAGTGGTTTGACAACTTTCTTTTTTACGGTGGTATGAAGTTAGGAATGTAATTGTGGTATTTCACTGGAGTGGGTGTTGACATACTGCAGTGAGTATGCTGATCTGAACAGGTGGGCTTTGAGGTGGGACTTGAAGGTGGTGATTGTGTCAGACTGTCAGATGTATGGGGGGGAAAAGAGTTCCATCATTTGGGAGCAGTGCAGCTAAAAGCCTGAGCACCCATGGTGACTAGGTAGGTATGAGGTGGGGGCGGTTAGCCGGCCAACAGAGGAAGAGCGAAGGGAGCAAGAAGGGGTGTACTCCTGAAGGAGGTCAGCCAAGTTGTGAAGGGCATTGAATGCGAGCAGTGACTTAACCAGCTGCTTTCCTTTCAGTGACAGTGTTTTGAGACTTCTGTCGGAGTGAAAGTAACCACCTACTTTCACTTTGCAAACAAAACAAGAATGAAGCTGTTGTTGATGACAAATGCTTTACATAAACACAAACATTAAGAAAGAGCAGTTGAGCTGACCTTGTTATTCACTTTGAGATGGTTTGGATAGTTTTTTGGGCCAGTGATAAAGAATCCCTGTCACAGCCATGTGGAAAGGAAAAGTGTAGAAAGCTGTGGTTATACCGGATAAACCAACCATCAGAGAGAGGCGAGAGAATCATTTTAAATATGAAGAAGACACTTTCACTCTTTGTCTGTCAGGAAAAGGCAACTGCGGGGGACTACAAATGTATCCCACTTTACTTTTTTAGCTATGAGAAATTGGTGGAAGCAGTCTCCTCTATCCCAGTTGGATTTAAGATACTCATTGATCATCCCACAAGCACTTTAGTTGAGTACACTATGAATGACTATTCTTAGAGTCCATGTTGTGCCAAAACTGAGAGAAAACCTTGGCTGACATTGTAGGGGGTACATCATGCATCCGGACTGGCGGTGTTTTTTCCCTTGGTGGTTTTTGTACGCTCATCCCATCAGCGAAGATGACGCCATCATACGCTTCTCAGTAGTTGGTTGTCTGAAAGGACTCTGACTCATCTTGTTCTTTGACTAAGCTTTTGTTAATTGCCGTTTTATTTATTGCTTCTTCTCCTCGTGTTCCTGTTCCATGGTCTTACATGCGCCTGTTTAATTAAATGTATGAATAGAACAGGGTTTGTTTGTGCCAAAGTTGCTCATTTTTATTCTTCCTGTCCAGTCAGATTAAAGTCCTTGCATAATAATAATAAACAAAACCTATTCATACTAGGGATGGGAACGATTAATCGAATGTTCTAAATTATTCACGTATTCGAATTAGTGTTGTCACGATACCAACATTTTGGTTTCGATACCAAGTCAAGAATTGCGATTCCGATTCTTTTTCGATACTTTTCTTTTATTATTTTCATGATCAATACAATTGTAGTTTATCTGTTAAGTGTTTTCTTACAACATGGTCTCTTCTTTATACTTGAGTTTATGTGATTTCTTTGATAGTTAACTTTATATTTTATTAACATGTAATAGTACAGTAATATAAATAATTATTGACAAAATGTACATTGCAGATGTTAGCCACATTGATAAGTTAGCTAAAAAGATAGCCATATTAGACTGTTATCATTGCCATGAATTGCCTCGTCAAACTACGAAAACGTTAGTTTGTCACAAAATAAATGACACTTGTTTGACTTAGATTTGAGTGCATAGGCTGAGCATGATGTAATTATGTTATCTATCACATTTGCTAACCTGTCTGTCTCTGGATGCCGGTCGGCGAGGTGCTTAGCCAAGTTTGATGTGTTGGCTCCCTTGGTTTGCAGGGATCTTATGGCGCGTTTCCACTGCAGGCCTCGCTCGGTTTGGTTAGGCCTTATTAGGCCCGGCTCACTTTAATGCTGCGCTTCCATTATAGTTTAGGAACTGGGGTAGTTACTATAGTAACGCAGTGTAGGCGGAGCCGTGACGTCATCTTCAATGAGCGCCCCAAAAAAACAACACAGCCGTTAGCTCTTAGCACTCAGAGCTCACAGCTCTTCATATCTGTTCAGAAACTACACAAAAGTTAAACAAGTACAAACCACAGACTGCCTGTGTCATGGCGAATACAGTCGCTGGTTTATTTATGTCTGTATAGGCCGTTGTTGTGAGTGTGGACGGTCGGAGCATATATAACGTTAGCTTAGCCAAGCTCCATTCAGAAAACAGGCATTTTAAAAGGGTGTTTCGCCTGCCGTCTGTCTGCAGACTTGTCAAAGCATTAATTCATGGTTTTTACTAACCGGTATCAGTATGTTGTTACTTCGGCATCATTTTGAAACGTGTATTACAATTAAATCACGGTCAAATATGTTGATCTTGTTGTAGTTGTAGCCCCCTTGCCAGCGATTCTCTCTCTAGTTTAGCATACTCCGCCCGACTCAGCCTGGTTGTTCCTGGCCCTAGAACCACGATTTAGTCGGGCCAGAAAAAAGGTGAAAAAGTAGCCCCGGGCCAAAACTAGGCCAAGTGGAAACGCAACCAAAAACGGGCCCCGCACGGCTCGGCACGCTTAAAGCGAGCTACCCGCTGCAGTGGAAACGCGCCATAAAACATGTCTCACAGACAGGCCTCGTGGTGTCCGTAGGCTTGCCCTCACTGTCAGAGATATAGCTAAAATACTTCCAAATGTCGCTTCTGGCGTCTTTTTTGTCAACAAGCCGAGGCGCAGCGGCAGTTGCACTCCCACTTGCAGCCATGCTTCTCCTTTTCTCACATGCTCTGGCAGCTAGCGCGTGCATGAGAGAGGGGAGGCACTTAGACCGTGCTTGAGAGGCGAGGGATTAAAACAGCGCTTTCTCATCGGAGTACTTTTCCCCGTCATTCTTAAAGTACCGATACTAATGAAACGGAGGAATCGTAACATTTTTAACGGCAGGGTATCGCGGTACCTTTCAAGTATCGGTTATACGTGTCCGGTTATACTTCACTCGCGTTTATGTCCAAATCCATCAGATCTAGCTAGTTCTAGCTAATTATATGGCTGCTGTGCTGCCCCTCCCTACACGCAGATCACGCAGACTCAAACCTCATCTTATGCCCAAATGCGGCGCTCCGCAGCCGTTGCGAGGTTCCGGCGCTAACAGTTCATGAGCGTGCTCCCCCGCCCCCTGTCAACACTCGCGAAACATGAGTGGCCAACATAAAGTACATAGACATTTTGACAGGAGAGATTTAGTTTTGCCGGTATTCAACATATTTTTACCAGTCATAGTCCGGTAATTATTTACACGCTAAGAAGAGTCCTACACCACAGACATGGCGTCAAAAAGGAGTAATGTGTGGAAATATTTCGACCAGGTTAGTGAGTGCGGTGTAGAGTGCAAACTGTGCCAATTTTTTCAAACGCTTTTTTCCGGGTTCGGTTCTGGGTAAAACAAAGATGATGCGGGTCGGGTCGCGGGTATTGCATAATAAATATATAATAATAATAAATAATAACTCATTCTTTTGCCTTGCTATCTCCATTTTTGTTTCTTGATTCTGTGTCTTTTTATGTTCTTTCTCTAATTTCTCCAATTCCGTTTGTAACCTATCGAATTTTTCTTTTCTCTCAGCTTTGCTTGCGTCCCATAGAATCTGTGGTGACACTTCGCCGTTATCATTTTCATCTAGATACATTGTAATGTCAGTCCTTATTTGCTGCCTCATTTGATTTAACATCCCTGTGTTTAGCCTCCAGATTGTGTTTTTCTTGTCAGACCCTAATAATACATTTATATATATATACTGGAGTGTGGTCAGATAGATCCATGTTCCCAATACTGCAATTTTTCACTCTATGTAGGTCTCTTTGAAACATAAAGAAATAGTCAAGCCTAGAATACACAGAGTGTGGGTGAGAAAAGAAGGTATAGTCTCTCTTTGTCGGGTTCAACTCCCTCCATATGTCTGAGAGTCCCAGTTCTTCCATCATTAATTTTATATTTCTTGTGTTTTTTTTCTCTCCTGAGTGGTACGATTTTGATGTGTCCAGGGTTGGGTGGAGTCTAACATTAAGGTCACCCCCACAAATGAGGATGCCCCGGGCCTCAGCGATTAATAACTCAAACATTTCTTTATAGAATTTCCATTGAGAGCTAGGAGGGGCATACAATTTCAAAAAAGTCACTAGAACTCCCTCCAGATTCCCCCTAACCAGAACATATCTCCCCTCTTTATCTTTCTTTTCATATGTACACTCAAAGTTTAGTTTACCAGTGATCAAAATTGCAACCCCTCTCCTAGAACCCTGGCTGTAGGAAGATGAGTACTGATTGTATCTCCATTTCTTAAGTTTTTCATGCTCTATTTGTGTTCGGTGAGTCTCTTGGAGGAGAGCCACCTCTATTCCCTCCCTCTTCAATTTCGACATAACTTTGCTCCTCTTGATTGGGTTTCCCAGGCCATTTACATTATACGTAGCTACTTTAACTGACTTGGTATTTTGCATGGTTTGTCTTTAGGTATATCTCAAGCCCCTTCACGCTTCTATATATCACATATATCGCACTCCTGGTGCTACAAGGAACAGTAGCAAGAACAGAATCGTTAACCAATAACAAGTTAACAAAAAAAAGAAAATCACAATCAAAGATAACAACATTGACTTCCAAGATGACGGCCTCTTTAACGGCCTTGTGACTCTGATGGAATGTGAGTGTAGGGGGGGAAACTCTTCCTCCTAGTAGTGAAAGAGGGCCCCCTTCAGCCTTTACACTGATACGTAGGTCCATAGTGTCCAATCGCAGGCGTCCCGACCTCAAATCTATCATTTAATTGCCATTAACATTACCCTTCTGAGAAGGTTTAATTTTGGAAAATAGGATCGAGAATTGAGTCTCTCACAACATTACACAGCATAAACTCTCTGTGGTTTCTAGAAGTAACATTATAATTTTAACTGAATGTTTCTATTAGAGCAGCAGTACTTATCAGGTGTCCTGACGGCGGTATGCATGGAGCCGTTCCTTAAAGCCTTGATTGGCGCGTGTAGTGCCCCGGTTTCCTTGCTTTTCACTGGATCGCCAAGTCATCCGGCTGATCTGGTCCAGAAGGGAGGTTGTCTTTTTCACCACAGTCACCGGAATTCCCCTCTTTGCCATGTCCATCGTTGCTTCCTCCACCGAGCCGTAGACCACCGTACCTTCCTCGTAAAACACTCTTTATCGGGCGGGGAATGGCGTTTAGAATCGTATATTTCTTCCCTTGAGCGCAGCTTTTGCTTCTGCATATTCCCTCCGCTTCCTCAATACCTCCGGTGCATAGTCATGGTTAGAGCTGAATGATATACCGTGTCATGGCGAGAACCGCGATATGCGCATGCGCGATATTCACACCGCAGGGACGTGCAGTGTGAATATCGCGTAATATCGCGTAAATGCTAACGCACTTTAGCACAGAATTCAAAATAAAGATACCCTTATTACTTATCTAATCTGCACATACAATATATCCGATTAAAGCTGAGACTCCACAGATTATTTAAGTATCTCAGCGATCCGAACTCGCAACAAGGGAAGCAAACACAGACATCACAACACGTACCTTTTACGGAGCTTTTACGGGAGATCGTCTCACCGTAGCTGTCAATCTGATCAAAAGACGTGTTCAATGGCATTAAAACGAGAAAAAACGCGGCTGAATCGGTTGATCCATAGGTTGATAATGTATCTGTGGCTTTGAAGCAATTGTTTATAACAGTTAGCTGCTAATGGTAGCCACCAGAGTGTATGCAGCTTCCGGTTTTGGCTACGCGTCACTCTCACTCCTTATTTGGTCGTGTGTGTGTGTGTGTGTGTGTGTGTGTGTGTGTGTGTGTGTGTGTGTGTGTGTGTTGTGTGTGGTGTGTGTGTGTGTGTGTGTGTGTGTGTGTGTGTGTGTGTGTGTGTGGTGTGGGTGTTTGTGTGTGTGTGTGTGTGTGTGGTGTGTGTGTGTGTGTGTGTGTGTGTGTGTGTGTGTGTGTGTGTGTGTGTGTGTGTGTGTGTGGTGTGTGTGTGTGTGTGTGTGTGTGTGTGTGTGTGTGTGTGTGTGTGTGTGTGTGTGTGTGTGTGTGTGTGTGTGTTCGACTGCGCTGGACTGCCGCATTGCCAAGACCGGAAGCAGCAGCCACTCTGGTGGCTACCATTAGCAGCTAACTTGTGCTCTGCGATTTTTATATAAAAATGGAATTATGGATTATAAATGAAATACTTTTTTAATACAGAGACGTTAAAAACCTATGGATTAACCGATTCAGCCGCATTTTTTCTCGTTTTTAATACCATTGAACAACACGTCTTTTGATCAGATTGACAGCTACGGTGATACATCTCCCCTAGAAGCTACGTAAAGGTACGTGTTGTGATGTCTGTGTTTGCTTCCCCTGTCCGAGTTCGGATCACTCAGTGATGATACTATATACCTAAATAATCTGTGGAACCTCAGCTTTAATCGGATATCTTGTATGTGCAGCTACGATAAGTAATAAGGGTACTTTTATCTTGAGTTCTGTGCCAAAGTGCGTTGGCATTTTTCGCTCAGGGGTCATTTAGATGCTTCTTATGAGACTTGTGTTTTGTTTTGGTAAAAATGGTTTGTATCGTCAGTTAGCTGAGATTATTTCCGTTAATCTGGTATAACACATTAATAGGTTCTTAAATATTAAGATCCCCTGAGACACAGTGTCGTGAAAAAAAAAAAGTAAAGTACCCGCCGGGACTTTGGGGCTTAACAGGTTAAAAAATGCAATATATACCGCAGGGGGGGTCAAAATCTCGATGTCAGTTTTTTTCAATATCGTGCAGCCCTAGTCATGGTCCAGTTGGATCCTTTTCCCTTGGAAGTCAAATCCTTTTTTCTGCCAAGCTCTTTTCAGGACATCTTCCTTCACCGTGTAGCTTGAAAACTTAACCACGATTGATCTCGGAGGGGCTTCATTCGGGGGTTTCGGTGCCAGCGCCCGGTGCGCCCTCTCGATATTTAGGGCGCTGGAGGGGGGAAGCTCCAAGCTTTTTGTCAGCAAATCTTCCACGAAAGCGATTACTGATGCCGTGCCTTCTTCGGCTCCTTCTTTTACCCCGTGTATTCTGACATTTTCACGTCGCGATCGCCCCTCCAAATCAGTCAGCTTTGCCTCCGTTTGCATCTGAAGCTTTACCAGCTCCGTCAGAACGTCCTCTGATGACTGGATTCTGGTCTCAGCACCGTTAATTCGCTCCTCTGCTTCTTCCACTCTTTTGCCGATTTGACTAATGTCCTCTTTTATGCCACTCAGCTGTTGACCGAAGTCTTTTCTAAGTTCTCGTAGCTCCTTCAAGATTAAAGCCAAGTTAGATTCACCGTTCGGCTCTGAGTCAGAGTCCGGCTGCGTGTCGTCCATGTTGCTAATGCTGCTAGCTCGAAACAGGTGACCTTCTTCGTTTTTGTCTTTTTACCTTTGTTGGAGCAATACTTTTCTTACCCCTTTTAGGCATATTACTTTGCCCGCCGTGTATATGCTTGCTGTAAATACTTTCCTGGTTATTCGAGTTAAAACAGGCAAATTTGAATTCTCACTATCGGGAGCCTGTCACGCTAAGCTGCGATCCCCATGCCTGCTAGACCGGAAGTCCGGTTTTTGATGTTTTAAGCATGAAAGCTGTAGGCCTATAGCTGTCAAACTCTGATCACCAGTTCAATACATTTGACAAATTCGACTTGGTTTCTATACTTATTTGAACATGTATTTATTTATTTCCAAAAGTTATTGAAAAAATAATAATTCGAAAAACAATGTTAGACACATTTTTTTTTTTATAGGATATGTACATTTCGGTTAACTGTTTTTTGGGAGGTCGAATATTCGAATATATACGTTTGCTTTCAAATTCCCATCCCTAATTCATACCTAGAAAATGCCTAGATCATTATTGGACTACAATTGTTGGTGAGCCATTCGAGCCACAAATACTTTTTACAAGATTACATTTGAACACATAACCTAATTTACCCTTCCACAATGCCGAATATCGACCAATAACAATCGCTGGCTGATCAATCCTCTTGCACCTAGTGAACCTAGTGCACGTTCCATTTGGACACATTACTGTATTTGACTGTGTAGCAGGACTTTATAAATCAGTGCGGGGACTAACAGTGTGTCTCTTTACCTCCAGTTCTCACAGCTGCTGTCACACAGGCTTCATTACAGTCGATGCTCCATAAGATCCTCACTGCTGGACCATCAGCTTTCAATATCACTACTATCCTCTCTCAAGCTGCTCAGCTCTCCAACCAAGGTAAGCACAACTCACACAGAAGCTTGTCTATTCCAATAATTACTGCTGATAACTTAAAGTTTTGATAATGGCATCAGCTAACCTGACTTGCATGAATGTCTTTAAGATTTCCCCGATCATGTACCTGCTCATAGTGGTTTTCTTGCCGGCTATAATTCGAGAAGATTGACTGAAACCCTTATGCTGTTTTCTTTTTCTCTGCATACGTTCAGCAGCTCAGCAATCGAACCAGTCCCCCATGTCGTTAACATCGGACGCCTCATCGCCCAGGTCTTATGTTTCTCCGAGGATCAGCACGCCACAGAGCAACGCCGGTCACAACAAACCCCTCCACAACACGCAGCCCGCCATCTCACATTCAAAAGTAAGACTCAAACATTCAGTGTGTATAAATACAGTGGGGAGCGTAGGCCAGCTGGTTGAAATGTTTCCAGAGATATATCAACCTACACTTTGAAGTATACATGATCTGTGTATTTTGGAGAGGATCTGGATTGATGTGTTTTAACTTGTGTTTAGGCGAGTACGACATCAGGGAAGCAGTCCTCTCATCCCCAGCCCTCCTCCCAACAGACCCTCTCCAGCGAGAAGCAGCACAGTCACGATGCCTCCACGGCCTCCCCCCGCAACCTGCAGCGCCAGGGGTACGTGCAACAGCACTAGGTTCAGAAGAATAAGTAGCATGAGAAGGGTATTCTAGAGCCGTTTGCTTAACTTTTGTCATTATTATACCAGGCTTCTGGGGTGGCAGCTGTTGCTAAGTCCATATACTCACATTTGGCCAAGAAAGAAGTGGAAATACCTCACAATCTCACAATGTTTTGGAGAACCCATTCATATCAGAGTTTGGACCACCACATAAAAAATGGTTTTTCTGCCTTTAGATTATCCTCATTGTGTAATGTTGTGGCACCACCTGCTGTTCATTGATGGAACAATTTAGCTGCTTCATTCAGAAGTCTCTCATTGAAGTCATTCATTGCTTTGTGAAACGATTTCCAAAAAGGGGAGGAAGCTCCCTGATACTTCTGTTCCTCTGTGAATACACTGTTGGCAGGTGAAGACACAGCTGTTTGTACAAATATTTGATCAGCCTTAGTGTTCCTTCTTGTTTCAAAGTCAGTCATTTGCTCGGAAGTTTCACCAGTGAGGAACTGAGATAGACCCAAAACTTGCTATGTGTTCTAGCAAGTAAATACAAGGTCTAAGTTACTACTTTTCATTTTGTATTATGTTGTTTGTTTGTCTTTCCAACGCGTAGCACACTCCTGGTTTTCTACCATCTAAATTCCTTTTTCTCATCTGAAACTCTAGTTAATGTTCACATAAAACGAATGAAGCCGAGCTGCTGCATCAAAAACCTGTTAAGCCCGATTGCCCCCGCAACAATATTGCACGAAACTGTGTCTCAGGGCTTCTAACATTTAACAACCTATTAATATGTCATACCCACTTAACGGGAAGAAACTCAGCTATCAGACGATATTAACAATTTGTACCTAAACGAAACAAGTCTAACACCAAGCGTCTGAATCGCACTAAGCGAAGAAATGCTAACGCACTTAGCACATAACTCACGGTAGCGATACTTTATACTTCATGCTATCTGCACTAGATATCATATGAAAGCTGAGATTGGACAGATTCCATTGGTATAAGTATCATCACTGTGCGACGTCACCGAACTAGCAGCCAGCAAAGACAACATTCAACTTCACTTTACGGGGCCAAAACGGCAAATACGTCTTACCTTTGCTGTTTTCTGATCACAAGTTGTGTTCAAGGGCATTAAAACGCAGATAAATGCTGCTGAAGGTTAATCCAATGTCTCTGTGTCACTTTTAAATGATTACTGATAATCCATCATCACATTTATGGCCATAAACGTATTTTTCATAAAGAGTGTAACGGAGCTTCCGGTTTTGGGCATGCTGCGAGCGCATCATTCTAACTCACCAATGGTAATGTTTAGATGGATTTAAGAACTTCCCCTCGATTCTATTGGCTCTAACGGTTACAAAGTGGTGTCAATCACCCAAATCGACCAATGGGTTCCAGAGATACGGCAAATGTACCCAGAGGTGAGTCCGGCTGGACCTACTTTTTCTAAACCTCTCTAAAAAGGTCAAATATCACTTGTTTTGCATCAATCTTGATACAGGGTACTTATTATATGTTATAGTTTAGATTCCTAAAGCTTTTAGTCTACTATCCCATCATTAAAGGGTGGTTTTCACTAAGTAATATTTTTTTTTAGACGGAAACAATAATTTACATTTTTTTACTATGTTCAATCTGAATTTACTTTAAAATAAAAACATCTATATTGATTCTGAAGAAGTGAAGATATCGTCATTTGTTCTGGGCATGTAATTTTCGAGCCTGAGGCCTGAAAAACAGGCTCAGGGCTTAACAGGTTAAGAGCCGTGATCAAATAGTAATCTTCCTGAAGTTGTCTGTTAGCTAAGACCTATATTTGGTGATCAGCTATATTGAGACTCGAGGGAAGTTGTGTTTTTAATATTGCTGCTGAGAACAAGTTGATTGGTCCTTTTTGTGAAAGGTCCGTTTCTCCTTAGACATAATGTCTCAACACTGACATGCTCCTTCAACCCGTGTTTGTTGCAGCAGTCATAGGAGCCCCTCCCCGGGTCCCAACCACGTCTCCTCCTCCTCCAGCAGCAGCCACGCCCCCAACTCTGCCTCCGCTTCCGCCTCAGCAGCCCGGACCTCCTTCACCCCCTCCCTCGCCGCCCACTTCAACGAGAATCTTATCAAGCACGTGCAGGGCTGGCCTGCCGAGCACGCTGAGAAACAGGTCTGTACCTCTTAGTTGTCCAACTTGTTATCTTTTTAGCAGCAACACCCATTTATTTATTTATTTTTTATCATACATTTTTTATTGCAAACATCTTCAATTTACAACACAGTACAGAAGACAATTCAGGTTGCACAACATTTTGGATTAATTCAATCCCATCCCTCTATCCTACATCCAGGATTCGTACGGGTGCTTGAAATCCTTGAAAATGCTTGAAATTTGACGTGGTGTTTTCAAGGTTGGGAAAGTGCTTGAATTTTGGGAATGGTGCTTGAAATTGAGATAAAGTGCTTGAAAATGTAAATGCTTTACTTTTACAATAAATTGCTGTCTGACTGAATAGTTCGCTTTTTAGATTAAAAGAAAAATAATTGCTTCGCTTCTACACAAAACAGCTCCGCTGCGGCCTTCCCGCGCTATGCGCGCGACCTGCGAGTGTGTGTTATGTGTGACCTGGGCATTCTGATGAGTGATAGATGACTGTGTGCCAGGAGGTTGCAGTTTCAACGAGCGTTGGCTAGCAGAAGACAAATACAAGCCATGGCTAAGACGAGGGTCAAGCCCACGAGTAGCCTCCTGCAAAGTTTGCAAAAATAACGATGCGAGAGTCTGCGCTGACGAGCCACATGAAAGGTACGCCGGAGTAGAGCATTAACGTTAGCGAGCTGAATAGCGAACTCGATTGAGGGATAATAATAATTGCAGGGGACAATCATTTCAGAGGAGCGTATCTATGTTAATACATGCGTTACAGTCGCCATCGTGTGGTGTTCAGAGGATGAAGCACTCACGGCATTTCGTGTTTATAGTCACGAAATATAATCTATTGATTCGACACAGAGCGATTTTGAAAGCAATGTATTTCTACTGGTAATATATTTCGTGCCTAAACCAAATGTGACTTGCTCTATCGAAATCAGTCACATTGACCCGAAGACACATTTTCATTTGTATTACTGGTCTGGGGGAAGCTCGCGAGTGTGTTTGTGTATTTTTGCGTTTGTGTACCGGGGAAACACTCATAACAAACACCGGCTGTTGTTATGCTTGCTGTGACGTTACATTAGTCCGTTCTCTGCTTGTAATTATGCCGAAGCTTCAAAGCTGTATTTATCATCTGAATTTGCCGAAACAAGTTTAATATTCTGAAAGCCAAGACTTTGTTTATTTGAAAACATGAAAACAAACTGTCTTTTATATAAAATTGAAGTATTATACAAGTAAAACTACATTTTGCTTTAATCCCATGTAATTGTAGAATGAACACAGTCTTCCTTTGAAGATGTATAAGTCAGGTGTCTTGAGTAGTCAAAATTACCTACAAATCATTGCACACATTTGTAAATATTATTTTCCACTTGTTACCATTGTGAGTCTATTTTTATGCAGCTCTGTGTGATTTTGTGGCTACAATTCAGGCTAATACGCTACCAGAGGTGGAATAAGTACTCAGATATTGTACTTGAGTAAAAGTACAAGTACTCAGATCTTGTACTTAGTAAAAGTAGAAGTACTCAGATCTTGTACTTGAGTAAAAGTAGAAGTACTCAGATCTTGTACTTGAGTAAAAGTAGAAGATAGAGTGTAGGAGTACTCTGTTACAGTAAAAGCATTCAAAATGTTCCTCAAGTAAAAGTAGAAAAGTATTATCATCAAAATATAGTGAATGTAGCGACAGTAAAAGTAGTGATTGAGCAGATTGGTCCATTTCAGAATAATATATATGATGTGTTTTATAATGATTGATCATGAAAGTGTTCTCAAAGCTGGTGAAGGTGCAGCTAGTTTGAATGGCTTTGTATTCTGCAGGGTAGCTGGTGAATTTACTCCAGGTGGAACTAAAGTCTGACTCAACACTTGATTAGATTTCACATCATTCATCCACATCTGTAAAGTAACTAAAGGGATTAAATACATGTAGGGGAGTACAAGTACACCATTTACCTCCGACTTATGTTCACTGCCAACCTAAAAGTACCTCAAAAATAGTAATCAATAATGTATTGAAAAGTTATTTGGCTGATTGTTGTATATCGGCTCAGACAGGTTATATGGGGAGGCCTAGTCTACGTACAGATCACTCATTTTGAAATATTAAACTTAGTTTTATTTTCTTTAATTTTTCATCCTCGTGTAGAATGCTATCACGAAACACACATTTGGTTGTTTATAGCATAAAGAACATCTGATTTAATGTGAGGTAGGGAAATAATCATTTGAGTATGTGTATATAAATATGTGACCCGCTCTATCGAAATCATTCGGAAGTCGCAACGGCTCATTTAAAAAATAAACGTGGATTTGCGTAAAAAACTATTTTTTCGGGGTTCGGTGTTTTGTTTGATTTTAAACAAACAAAGTCTTGGCTTTCAGAATATGAAACTTTTATTTCCAAAATCACACGATAAATACATTTTTGAAGCTTGTAAAGGGAAGATGACAGGCACCTCTCACTCGCAATCTGCTCTTCCGCAGCGCCGCCCCCCCTCCCTCCGGCTGACATTATGAATGTACGCGTATAGTAATCATAGATAACACGGCAGGGTCCGTTACAGTTTGTTTTCATCTGATTTCAATTAAACAAAGTCTTGGCTTTCAGAATATTAAACTTGTTTCGGCAAATTCAGATGATAAATACAACTTTGAAGCTTTTAACGGCATAATTACAAGCAAACAAACACAATACACACAAATGCAAAATTACACAAACACACACACACACACACACACACACACACACACACACACACACACACACACGTAGACACACACTCGCGAGCTTCCCCCAGACTAGTAATCCAAACGAAAATATCTTCCCTCCGTAGTATTTTGATCATTTGCTAATAACCAATCAGATCGATGGATTCCAGAGAAGAGAAAACTTTGAAGGCCTTTTTCTCAAAATGATGACTCTGTGACGGTCATTATATAATGTGACATATTTCGCTTAATATTTGGAGTACAAAAACAATCCTGATATCATTAGAAAGCTAGGAATATCTTCTTTCCAGCAGTGTATACAACTCAAAATGTGTCTTCGGGTCAATGCGACTTATTTCGATAGAGCAGGTCACTTATGTAATTTACAACAGCTGTAAGATGCTTGAAAAGCTGGAAAATGCACCTTGAAAATGCTTGAAAAGTGCTTGAATTTGACTTTGGAAAAGGTGTAAGAACCCTGTACATCCCGCCCACCCCCCCACCCACTCCAGCAACACCCATTTATTAAACTCATTTTCCTGTGTGACCCTTAAAGGCATCGAGACTACGTGAAGAGGCGCACACCATGGGGAGCATCTGCATGTCGGAGAACTGCACCGAGCTCAAAAACCTGCGCTCCTTGGTCAGAGTCTGTGAAATACAAGCGACATTGCGTGAGCAGAGGTGAGGAGGAATTTGTATTCTCTAAGAAAGCACCTGTTGGCATTTATGGTAGAACAAATAATCACTGTCCTCTCCGTCTTTCCCCACAGGATACTGTTTCTGAGACAGCAAATCAAAGAACTAGAAAAGTTGAAGAATCAGAATTCTTTCATGGTCTGAGGACTTCTGCAGTTGAAGCAGGGGGGTTGTGGGAGAAAAAGGGGGAAGACCCATTGCACATAGTTGGAAGCTGGAGGGCGAGCAGCCGGTCACTTCGTCTGGAGCCCAGTCTTAAACACAGGAGCTGCAGTTTGGACCGTCGGGCTGGAGAACCAAGAGTGAAACCTGACGAGCTGTCGCAGGGGGGGCTGCTTTACAAGACTTGATTCTGTAAAAAAAAAAACAAGCCCACGGCGGGGGGGGAAATGTAGATTTCTTGTAGATGTTATTATCTATGTTGTACATACGTTTTGTAGATTGAATGCCATGGAAAGCCATGCCTACTAAAGCTTTTGACATCCAAACTAATCAACGGCTAGGCGGCTACATTCATTAGCTAGTCTCTCCTTCATTTTAACGCAGACTTTAAAAAGCTTCATTTGGTCATAGATCATTGAACCATTAAGCATGTGTGACCTAAGCGGAGGAGGAAGCCATTAATATACACACAAGCCTAGCACCGGTGTCAATGTAGTTTAAATATCTCTAAATTCTCTTCCTGTGAAATATAAGCTGTACTCAGGCGCCATGGACGTCCCCTCTCTTTGGTCTTTGCTGAAAGACGGTTCACTGATCTTCTCGCAGCTCCTGGCGGCTCTGCATGTCCCAATCTGAGGATAAAAAAACAGTGCCTGGTGGTGTGGTGGAATGAGTGATTTAAATTGAGATGTGATGGTGTGCTGCTTTGGACCATTCCCCCCCTCCCCCTGGCCTCCGCCCTGCCCTGCCACACCCTCAACACTCACATCCCTGGAGTAGTTTTTGGTTCCTTTCCCCCCCCCTCTCTCTCATATTCTACGAAGAGGCGGGTACCACTGGTTCATTCCTTTGTACAGTCGCTAACCAGCAGAGGTTTTATTTATAAATAACAACGATATCCACACACTTTGATTTGCACCCATATAAGGAGTGGTCCTCCAGCAGGGTGGGGTTCAAGGCGGATGTATGTGGATCACCTCTTGTGTCAGAGCGGGGCAGCAAGAGGGCACACGGTCAAATGTGAAATGTATGTATTGTAATAAAGATGTTCAACTAAAGCGAGCACTGGTTATTTTATTGGAGTTTTAGGTTTGGTTCTTACGCTAGTGCCTTGTTGAAAGTCTTAAGTGTCACAGCCTCGTTTACCTGCAACACCCACACTTTATTTCACCCGACAGGAACAGATCTTCAACAAGCATGTCATGCACACGGTTGTTGTTTTTCTAGCACGTCCCATCCCGCTCTTGTTTGTTCCCCACTGTTGAAGAGCAGGGTTCTCAGCTGTTTCATTTCCACAATACTATCTATTGGGTCTAACTGAACTGCAACACATTCAGTAACGGTGACCACGTCATTGCTTTGTATATTGTTTCCTGACATATATTGACAAATGAAATAAAATATGCCTCTCTGGGGCCATGTTGTTCTTGGGTTTTTATGGTACCTGTAGCTTCAATTTATTGTCTTTGGCTCTTTGGCACACACAAAGGTGACCTAAGCAACTACTACTCAAAGCATTAATGATTAAGTAAAATATTAAATTTAAAAAGGGAAAACTAATCATTTGCAATAACTTACATGATAAGTTTAACCTTTAGACTCTACTGCCCTCTGCTGGTGTGTCAGTGTTATTTAAATAACATGAGGTGGCCACTTGCTTGCATTCTTAACAAAACGTAGTGGACATTTCTCCTGGCCTCAGAATATCTACAGGTGGACTGTGTACAACTTAAGTAGATTTACTAAAGGCTTATTGATGTTGAAGAAAAGTAGGCTGGTTATTTGTAACACATCGGATTGAATTTGCATTCTAATTCAGACAACAGCGATAGCAAACTCTACTACAACACTCAATAGTAGTAAGATTACTTTGGTTTAAATCTGCAAAAATCAATGCATTTATCCATACTTGCTAAATGTTTCATTTGAAACACAGGTAATAAGCAGTGAACCTGACTTTTGGACTGAGGATATTATTAGCATACATCATGTATATTATTTATGTATACATTTCCCATTGCGCCATATTAACTCAAACTTTTTTTTACATGATTCTTTCATATGTCATGGTTTGATGTCCGAGCTAGACAAGTACTGATCCAGTGAATTGATGATTCTTTCTTGTATAAATGTCATGTTTTAATATTACAGTTTAATATAACTGTGAAGACACACTAGCCAACAAAATATGTATTTAAAGTAATATAGCTTATTTATTAAATTCAAATGAATCAATTCAAAATCGTACTCAATGCTGTGTGGATAGACTTGAGAATAACTGTTGCCCATACAAATGTTATACCATGAAGTTCCTACAGAGGGCGGTGTGTCTCCAATAATAGGTTGCATTAAGAAAATCTTACACGAGGTCCCCTCCATGGTCAGATGTTGTGTCTGTAGACCACAAACCAATGTTTTAAGGAAATACAATATGTCGTATTTTCAGCTCCATGCATGGGCTTTAAATGGATGAGGAGAAGTTTGGAAAAAGGTACTTTATACATGTGAATATAAGAGGGTCTTTTGCCACTTTTTCTAATGTATTTGTTTGTATAAAAAGTAAAACCAATTGACATTAATCTTGACCTCTTGTATTGAAATACTTCATTTTACTATGACTACATTTTATATGTGGCTGTTTTGATTATGTTGAATGAAACACCTGATATATGTAGGGAGAGTAGTAGAAGTGATATTTTCTTATTGTTCCCCTTTTTTTGCTATCATTTGTTCACTAATCATTGCTGCATCAGTAGAAGAACAGACATGTAACCGTATTGTTTGGGTTTGCACTGTACACACATAGGTCATAACAATTTTACCTTTTCTAATCAGTAGTTTTCATGTCTTCTCAAAGTATCAAAAACTGTGCTTCTACTTCCTGCAGAACTGTATTATTTCTTCCTAATCCCCCATATTGTCATGCACTAAGGAGGCATCTCTCTTCGTGATCAAACGCAGTTTATCTACACAGTCATCTCTGAATGTGGATAAGAGGACAGAGTGCTACTGAATTAATTCCCAACATAAAAACAAAGGTGGACGCTGTCAGTTTCCTGCCTGCGAGCACTCTAGATAAAGTCAGCATGAGTGCATGTGAATGCTGAGCCTGTAACCCAGTCTGTAACATCAAAGCTGCTCCCGGCACATCTCCAGTATGGATCCACATAACTGCTGCTGGACCTCTGACTCTGATGCTGCGCTCCATTATCTGGAGGAGAATAAAATGGATCATGAAGGATGGAGACAGTCTGCCTGTCTCTGATTCTTCAGAAACCTTGATATGGCTCACATCAAAGAGAGAGGAGGAAGCCGGGAGGTGTCGGAGGAAGTGTGTCTGCCGGGGTGTGTGTCCTTGTGGATCATAGAGGGAGTTTTGATCTTCAAAGTGGGAATATTTAGAGCAGGTCATTTTGTCGGGTTAGGACTCATGAGAAAAGTGGTTTTAGAGACTTCTGTATAAAGTTTAAATCCAGTTTTTGAGTCATCTACTATGGTAGACTTGACCTCCACACCCCCGTTAACTCAGCAGCAACCCAGCCATCGTTGGCCTAGCAGTAGGGGGGCTTTTGTTAAGCAAAGCCCATACATTCTGTAGCAGGTCACACCTACAGTGTCTCCTAATGTGTGAAAGCAGACAGCCTGTGGGGTGTAATCTCCCTAAAAGGCCACTTACATGAAACCCCCTCATGATGAAGGCTTGTCGACGCTCATCCTCTCAGCATGTAAAGACACACAGTTTTGTTTTCTTAAACAATGTTTCCCAGTCTGAAAGTTGGAAGTCTTGACAAAACAACGCTAGGTTTTCATTAAGATTTCATATGTATTCTTAATTTAGTCACATAAAAGAATGGCACAACACGTTGGTTTTACTTGTCACAAAGAGCTCTGAGCTTGTGAAAACAGTTGCATGATGACCTCTGTGTCTTTAGAGGGAGCGTTCACAGGTCTATGAAAACAGCCCTTATGATGTCATAGTGATGTCATGCAAGTTATTTATCGGAAAATGTATTTCGGAAAAGCCTGGATTAAAAAAAACGAAGGTGTTTGTTAGAGATGAGTGGATTTACCAAGCAGGGAAGGTCAAACATAAATCAGCTGCTTCACAGAGTTTGACCATTCCTTTTTATATTCTAAATCAAGACACTTTTAATATGGGCAATACTACAATGTCTTAAGTGCCTGTGATGAGGCCATATTTTAAAAATAAAAGCCTCATACCAGTTATGACCAACAGATGGTGATGTTTAACTATCCAACACAAGTTATTGCAGCTTGAAAGAGGCTGAACAATCTACTAAAAAAGGGCCTTTCTGATCCTATTCAACTAAATTAACTCCAAACATTATGAAATAAATCTCCTAATTGTATATTTTAATTCATTTATATTAGGAGGCACAGTCATAGACAACCGCATATTTTGCCATAGGGGTTCCCATGCCTATACGAAAAAGAATTACACCCAGTATCACAGAAACGGATTAACTCTGGGAGAATAAAACGTGTATTTCTGCTGACTTCCTCCCTTCTTATGCAACTCTCAGTAAAGATAAAAGCTGTAGTCGTGGACTGGCGCCTCTGTGTAATTGCAGATAATGACGGTAATTGCAGTGAGTATAGTTCCCTAAAGCGGTATCCTCATCCTGTTGTCTATTGGACACAACCAAGGCCTGCTATGCTTTATTTCTACAGGAGTGGGTCTTCCCTGATGATATCATATTCATTTTAAGATTTTCTATAGGGTTAAATTATAATTTGTTCTTCGTATCGTTTGATGCAATAACACAACTCAAATTGAAACTCTCAAAAATTAATCAAAGCTAAACTATATATGAACATGCATTAAAGCTATAAAGAGTATTGACTTTTTAACCATTGACCTGATCGGGCATGTGTGTTTTGCATGCCGATTTTTAAATGACAATCGTGTCTAGTGCTCGCTCTGTGTGTGCGTGTGTGAGTGCGCGCGCGCGCGTGTGTGTCGTCTCGGTGGCGCCATGTGCCTTTTTGGATTGCTAATTTGTGTAAACGGCTGTCCGGCTATCCTCCCGGCAGCAGCAGCAGTCTGTAGCCTGAAGGGAAGCGGCTCAGCGCGGCGTCTCTCTGGCTGCCGGCTCGATGACACTGCAGGTACTGCTGCTGCAGACCGACCAGGGTTCACTTGCACAACATTTACATATAATATTAATTTTAAATGCATGGAACCTGGGAGGACACACCACATAATATAATTATGTTGCTATGTCATTAAATCATTGAATGAATCTTAACCTTCCATTTCTAGAGAATAATCTGCATTTTTGGGAATTATTTTACTCTTTATATCGCTTTTGGTTGCATAATCCTGCTAACACATATTTATAAAAGCCTTGCATTTGTTTGTATTCCTATATAAAGGAATTAAGTTACATATAGGCTAACAGGATAAGGGAAGGTATATTTATTTGTGTTGAGGACATGGTTGAGGATCATATTTGTTATGTAATGATTACACATACAACACTGAAGGATGTAAATCAAATAGGCTTTGTTATGGCACTGTCCAGGAGTTGACATAAGTTTATAGTTCAATATTTAAATGGTGATCAATGTAATAAAGCAACATTTTCAGGCGATGTTGTTAATGGCAACCTCATGCTGCCCCGATCAATGGAATTTATAAATGACATAATATTATGGAATATGGTGTTATGGAAGTGAAGGATGATGAATGGCTTGACCTGGGTCATCAAGAGAGAGGGACAGAGAAAATAGAACCGGAAAAAGGGTGAAATGGTCTAAAAAAATAAAACAAGGGGAAAAATATAAATCTTTTAAATTGGACCTACATAACAGTTCAGTAAGTGATGGTGCAGCAGGGATTTATTATTTAGTTTTTTGATTAAACATACAATTTGTAAAGCCCACTTCATGAGGTCGGGCTACATTATTAATGTATATTATTAATGTATCATATTTTGTGCATGTATTGTCAATTAAATGTATGATGTTTGACCTTCAATATTGTTATTTAAATAATGTGTTTTTTCCCTAATTGTAATCGCTTTGTTGCTAGGTTATAGAATACACTTCCCTTGCCTTATTTTGAAAATAATTACCGGAAACAGAGTCATTATGTAGTATCCTAACCATAGATCCTAACTGACTTCTCTCTCGGTGGTTTGGCCAATCAGCTTGCAGAGGGCGGAGCTCTGACAGACCACAACTATTTCTCCTGCTAAATCTTGTGTGTTCGGAGTCTGTGTGCAGTCTTTGGTACAGCGGTGTTCTCCGTCTTTTTCGAACATTTCTCCGTCCAGGAATACAAAAGTGATGCCTCTCCTTGACCGGCCGAATACAGAGGCAAAGGAGGACCAGCGGTGACAACTTTACATCCCATTTAACTCACTTTCCCGGAGTATATTTCGCTTTTTTTCCTTTCGGCTTGAAGAAGAAGACGTTGTGTTTTGGGTCCTCCAGTAATGTCGGACCGCTTTTAAAAACATACTTTTTCTGTCTCCATGCGGGAGAAGAAACATTTTGGAGTGTTTTTTTGATACTTTTGTGTCTTTAAGGATTGTGAGCAGTCGTGTTTCAGCACGGGAATGACTCATGTTTGGCCGTAGCTTCATGTAAATATTTTTGTCGTCCAGCTCTTCGCTCAGCGGACTCAAGCCGCTGCTACTGGATATACGAGGACTTTAGCGCAGTAACTTGCTGTAAATGGATCGCCAGTCCACTTTCATTTCCCTTTGGCTACAACTGGAACTTTGTGCCATGGCTGTTCTTCTTACTAAAGGTATAGACTTTGTTCTGGGTGACAGGGCATGTTCATTCGCTTATTAAAACTCAGGATATTTTACAGTGATAAACCAGGACTGAGTTTACACCTCACTAAACGGCCGGACTTTACTCTTAAACTTGTTTTAAAGTCGTGCTTCGTTTACTCAAAATGTCCCTTCTCAGCAAGAAAACAATGTTGCTTTTTGCCCGTATAACCTATTTCAGAAAACACTGGAATAAAGCAACGTTCCGGAGGAAGTTGAGATAACTCTACTTGTAATCATTGAAAACAAACTTGATTTACATATTTTAGGGTCTGTTTTATGCCAATGTGCATTACACATGACTATTATTGGATCAAATACTGTAATAACTGCATCGTAAACAACTAAATTATTGACTTGTTTAAAGAAAATAGTCCTGCATTTTTTTCCAGATATAACTCCCAACTTTATATTCCAAATAATAACAGTGTTATTAAATGGCAACAGTTATTACATGCAGATAACACACATATCCTGTCTTTGCCTGGTGTGTTTCACTTGGATAACTCCATGTTTAACTCAGTTTTGAAGCTGCCATTCATAGAGGACTGAGCAGGGCTAACAGGCAGCCCCCCCCTCCCTTATCCCACAAAGGGGCCTCTCCTTTCTAATGAAATATTCTCCAAATGACCTGCCCGGGCCCTGCTGCTCCAATCATTCACAGGGAAAAGACTGATCTGATGAATGTGCTCCTGCATTCAGAGGCTCCACCACAGAGAGGAACACTTTCTGAAACGTTCATCCTCTGGCTGATGTCATTTTAGCCTAATTCTTTAATGTAGCACATGGAAACCAAAGGCAATACTTTTGTTGTATTGTTATAATTCCACACAGTCACCAGATTAAAACAGCTCCTACAATATGTGTTCAAAGGTTTATACAATCATCATTATCCTTTAACATATCACTAGAGGACATCACAGCTCATCAACAGAAGTGTATAATAATCTTAAAGTTATGTTTTTGTTTTTCTTAAGGGCAGATCCATTTGTTATTTTTAAAGATTTTAAGGAGAAGCCACGGCTGCAGTAATGAGTGGGCCCGTGTAGAAGCAGGCAGCCGTAATGATAAGGTTGCTGGAAGCTCTTTTAGATGGGACCTCGGTGCACCCTGCCCCCCCCAGGCAGTCCTGACCACAAGTGAAGCTTTGCGTGCAAACGGGGGGAGAGGAGACTCCGGCCCCCCCCCCCCCTCCCTCTTTACAAGTTTCCATTTAGGTTGAAAGAAATTGACTTTGGCAAACAAACCACTAATTATAAGCTACACGGTTCCTGTTGTATAATACAGACAAAAAGGGCCATTTTGCACGAGAAGCTCTTGAAATGAAGCTTCTGAATTGATGCAAAAAGTGGAATATTCCCCTGAGGTCTTTAAAAAAGTTACCTGGCTGTTTATTGCCCCGCATAGCAGACACTTTGCTAGCAAACACACTTTCAAAATAAAAGTATAGGAGAGAACAGACTGCCTATGATGGGATTAAGTCCTTAAAGCATAGGAAAAGCAGATGTGGAATATATTTTCATACAAAATGACATGCTAATAATAGGGATACCATTTAAATCAACATCCTGGTATTAGTGACTTACTGAACCCTGACAAACACAAGCCATGTTATTGTCAGAAAAGCTCTTCTAACCCTGACCCTTTTTCTTTTCCAGGAGAAATAAGGTGTTACTGTGATGCGCCGCACTGCGTTGCCACGGGATACATGTGCAAGTCAGAACTGAACGCCTGCTTCACCAAGGTCCTGGACCCGCTCAATGTAAACTCCCCCCTCACCCATGGGTGTTTAGACCCCATCGTCAACTCTGCGGACATCTGCAGTAGCAGCTCCAGGGCCGTGGACATCCTGAGCGGGGCCTCGACGTTGGAGTGTTGCCACGACGACATGTGCAACTACAGAGGCCTTCACGACCTGGCGCACACCAGGGACTCGACAGGTAAAAGAAGAAACCCTCGTACAGCTCAATCCCTTTCTGTCAGGATGTTTGCTTTTTCAATGAAATTCTCTTAAAACTGCTTTAAAAATGATTGCACTCTTTGGGGGGATTTTTACGATTCCTCCTTAGCAAATATTCAATATTTTCCTCTTTCCTGTTCCAGAAGTAATACGTTTAGCTGTAGGGTTCTTCAAACACTCTGCTGTTTATGGACATGCAGGCCACCCTTGCCCCTCCACCCCTTCCGAGCTTTACAGAACTTCAATTTGACTTTTAATAGGATCCAGCTCTGTGCCTGGGAAGCCAGGGAGCCGCCAGTTTACCTTAAGCACTTGGAAAGAGATCAGATATATTCCTTTTTTTATTATGTGTGCACCATGTAATTTTCCCACCGAGTAGGAATGTGCCTTAGAGTGAATATCCCCTGACAAGCCTGCATGTTGGGCACTAGCTCACAGAGTTATGGAGAGATGCACAGAGACAGGAGGGGACGTTTTATTGGGACTCTGACCAAAGCACACAAGAGTTTATTAGCTCAAATTAATTATTGGCTCTGATTCTGGACAGGGTGACTCATTTCTGCGCTTTCTCACTCTCCCGCTCTTGTTTGTCCGTCTTATTTTCTCTATGTGGTTACTGGAATACCTGAAGAGAAGAGCTTATTTTTAGTATGTCTTTAATCTGAGTAAATGAAGAGATGATTTGTGCCAGATTTAGCTATTACCTCATTTCAATTTGCAGTGCATACTTCTACACACACTTAAAACATGACATAGTCTCTATCACTAACAATTATACAGACAGATCAAAATGGTAAAACAAACTGCAGATTTATCAGTGCAGCTTAACATTTAAATTCATTTAAACTAAAAACTCACATTACGCTCAAGTTAATGATGTCAAGGTTTCTCAATATCTTTTTTTTCTTAACCATGGGAAAAAGAGTGTGAACACTTTAAGCTCAGCTGGAGTCATATGATCATTAAACTGCAACTCCATTCATATATTCAAACGTTGAAGGCACATAAGAGTATATAATAGCAGTGGAAACATGTGAGTTAAACAGTTGGTTATCTTTATTTTTCAGATCATAGCCGCTACCAGCCGGACACCAACAACAGGAACCTAGTGACCCGGGTTCAGGAACTAGCCTCGGCCAAGGAGGTGTGGTTCCGGGCGGCGGTGATCGCGGTCCCCATCGCCGGCGGCCTCATCCTGGTGCTGCTCATCATGCTGGCGTTGCGAATGCTGCGCAGCGAGAACAAACGACTTCAGGACCAGCGGCAACAGATGCTGTCGCGCCTCCACTACAGCTTCCACGGCCACCACACCAAGAAGGGCCACGTGGCGAAGCTGGACCTGGAGTGCATGGTGCCCGTCACGGGACACGAGAACTGCTGCCTGACCTGCGACAAGATGAGGCAGGCCGACCTGGGCAACGACAAGATCCTGTCTCTGGTGCACTGGGGGATGTACAGCGGCCACGGGAAGCTGGAGTTTGTATGATTCCTGCCGGGAACTCTGACATTGACACAAACCGCCTTCTCTAACGTTGGCTTTCTTCTTTTTAAAAAGACATTCCCATGTTTTCGTCCATCGGGCTGTTGGGTTCAGTTCTTTTTAAACCAGTGGCGAAAAGATACGAGACTGATCTCATGCCGTGTGGTTTTTGCTAGAGGAGCACTTTACTTGAAAATGAAAAGGCGAAGCAACGAGGAGCTGTATTTAAAAACTTGAGAGGGCAGAACTGAGGTGGAGTGAGCGCTCCGTCACTGCTCCTGAGGATCCTGGACTTTAACACTGAGCGCTGAAGGATTCCAAATCTGTCTTATTTGCACATTTGTAAAAAAAAAAAAAAAAAGTTGTCGTTGCTTAAAACAAGAATTTTACACTGACACCAGGGTACAAAAAAACAACTTGTCTGAGGAGTATAACAAATTCAGTGTTTGACTGTAGGTGTGCACACTCCTCTGTGTACATTTCATGATTCAAGCTTATTGTAAAGATTTTAAATATATATATATTTTTGTCTGATAAAACTGACCGGTGTGTGTCTTGCTCTGGGTGAATGTCCAACATCTCTCTCTGTGATCAGACTATAAGCTTGATTGTGAGTGTGAAAGAAAACCTTCCATTAAAATTACTTTTTATTTAATTCACGATTCATTCTTGTGTTTTTACTTCATATCTAGCTTTAAAACACTGACGAATTAGATACTGCTACTATACTTATAGCTATTTGGCACACAAAGTAATACATCTTGTCAAAATCAGAGGTACAGAGGTGTGTGTGGGTGACAGAGCATCCTCCTTTGGCAGTATGATTTGTGGAGTGGCCTTGGGGTGTGTGTGTGTGACAGTGCAGCCTTGTTATACAGTGAGCTGCTACATCTGTCAGTTGTTCTTGAACCCTCTCCAAAGGTCACGTTTTAACTTCAAATAACTTCTCTTTCCCCCCCTCACAAGTTAAATGTATCCTGGAAGTAGTGGAGCTATTTATTTTATCATTACTCTAATACCTCTGAAGACCCCATTTACTGGATGTCAGTTAAACATTGTCCCCCCTGTGTTCAGCAGACTGTTTAATATTATTTTTGGTCTTTTTTAAAACATGGCTGGTGGTCTATATTTTTCTTGTCCAAGAATTCCATAAAAAAATACAACCAACAAATATTGTGTCTATTAAAAGCGATAACCCCCCCCCGAGTAAAACACCTCAGTGAGCCACACTACCCTTCTGCTGTCAGAGACATTAGTAAGACTTGTATCAATCCGCAGCTGAAAATAGTCCCTGAGAAATCCACCACCTTTCTATTTTGAGTAACATTTGCTAAAAACAGTGCCCAGCCTTTCAAAATGAAACTATATTTGTGACCAAACAAAGATCCTTATTATTTCCAATGGGCTTGAGCCTGAGTGCAACGGTACATAAGTTTAAAAAAAAAAAAGTCTCAATGACTAATATTTTCTGGTTTTGTTCTTGTATTGGGATTAGAAGATAACTGCAGTCTTGTGCTTTACCAGTCATTTTTTGTTATTAAATAGCTTGTACAATACAATACAAATATACAAATACACAAATACACAAAGTGTTACCTAGCCAGCCAATAGATTTTTTTCAAGGACTGTTCAAAATCTTGCAGGAAAGCTCTTTTTGCAGGATATTGCAATTACTTAAAGCTATATTTCCACAAGTCATACTCATACTACCCTCAGTCACTGGAACATCGTATTTAAACCATTAAGGGAGACTGTCAATTCCTGGCTGTATTCTTACTAAATGTGTATGCAAATAGCAACAAGTAGAACGGCAAAAGCTTGATTTTGACAGTTTGTTTGGCACCTGGGGTTAGGTTTCTGTCTCACTCATTCGTCAGGAGTTTCTCAACTCCAGCTGAATATTTACGTTTCCAGAAGCCCAAATGTCACAGTAATCATGACGGGACTGCAAAAGTCAGTGTGTTATGTACAGCCTGCGTCACACAGAGCAAGATGGGTTGTTGGGTTGAAAAGTTCACACACTTCAGTCTCCCCTATCACCATGGCCACCGCAAGTAAGACATCCTGTAAGTAGTTTAAAGTCGAGGTCCGCTTCAGTGAAGAGTGTGTGTCTCCGTGCTGAGCGGTGACCCTTGTTTCTTTCCATTAGGAAGACAGGAAAACACTATTAACAGCTAACCACTTAGCGGCAGCTTGCATTAGCGAGACTCAGCCCACGCTCAGGGCCTCCCCCAGGACTATTACCCCTGTAATAATAACAATGTCCTCTGCCTGGCCTGCTTAATGTGACTGCTGTTTTCTTTAGCCTGATTCCACTTTGCTGGCTCACCCGTGGGTGTCAGGTGGCCACGAGAAGATTAGGAAATCAACATATGTGAGACATAAGAGCATTGTTTTTATCTTTGAGGAGACATAAGTATAATGCAGTGGTAGGTAGTAACTACGTTTAGTACAATTCTGAGCTATTAGTACATTTCAATTTCCTGCACCTCAATACTTTCACTTCATTACAACTAAGAGGCAAATGCAGTTTTTAGTCCTCTACATTTATTTGGGTAATTTAAAGATTCAGGTTGATACAAAATGTAATCAACAACTAATAAATCATGTATTTTTATAGGTTAAAAACATTTGATACTTTCATGACATTTTCAAAGCCACCCAGCAGTATTTATAGTAAAAACCTTTTAAAAAAGTCAACCATTATCTGTTAAATAATGGGCCATTTTGTATAGTGAGTTCCTTTACTTTTGTAAGTAAATGTTACTTTAGGACTATAACTTAAGTAAAGAATGTAGGTTACATATAACAAGAGTGTTTCTTCATTGTGGCAATACTTCTCCAACTTAAGTAAAGTATCTCCACCACTTATTATATTTAAGCAAGGAGACACACTTTTCCTTTGTCTGGCTGCTTATGCATTAAATATATGCACAGCACCTAGACCACCACAGACAAACCACCTCAATGTGCTACTGTATCCAGGCCGACATCCAGCAGTCATAACTCTGCCTTGACAATAGCCGTCGCCCGAGGCGTCGGCGCGGTCATTAGCATCGGCCATTTTGTGCAGCACTAGGCGGTCAAGCTGTTTGTATTCACATGCAAATTTAATGAGGTGGCTCACTGGCCTCTATCAAAAGAGCCCCAATTTGTTTAGAAGCGACTCCAATGGACCCCCACCATCAGAGGATTTATGTACAACTCTCACTGTACTGTATTTTTTGTATCCGCTTTTACAACTTCACCATCACTTCCAGGCCTCTTTCTTTCCTCAGGTGGGTGACATTCCTGAAGCAGGGCTAACAACATGCAGGGATTTAAATCTGTGAGGTGCTGCCTCCGTGTTCCCCCCCCCCTGCTACCCTTTGCAATAATGCAGTAATAGTCCAGTAAGGCCTTGTACCGACTGTGAAGGCAGCAGCATGTGGAACAATATATTAAGTGTAAACACACATGGAACCTGTTAACACCTGGGCACAGTAATGGATGCACACCTCCCAGGGTAGTAACAGGCCTTTCTAAACCCTTGTATGTTTTTCTTGGTTTTCTTCCCTCCATGTCCTCACATTCACCATGTTCCACCAGATCTCCTGTTCCACTGGCGGAACACACACTCACTTAGTGTTTGCCCTCCATTAAAGTTACAGTAGTCCAAATGAATATGGACAATAATGGCGACAGTGCCCTTATATGATATACTGGTAGCATGCAAAAGCTTAGTTTCAGTGTGAAGCAGTCCCAGTCTAAATCATATCGCTGATACTTGAAGGCTGTCTAACAGTTCCCAAGCACAAACAAATACAGACATTCCAGAAAATAAACACAACTGGTCATTCCAGAAGTCCAAATAGGATAAATTAATTTACAAATCAGCATGACTGCGGAGACAAATCATCCTCTGTGGTGACAGACATCCGCTGAAATAAGACATGATCTAAATATTTAGCCAACTCATTTCCGTCCAATGGATAAAACTACAGCTCCAGTGCATGTCTTCATACACCTCCTCCCACCCATCTAAACATTTACCCAAGTATGTTGTTAACATCTAGATAGAAATCTGCCCCAAAAGAAAAATAATAATGTTGGGAATGTTTACAGGACGGACCGGGCTTCTTGAAGCTAAATGTCAGTCTGTAAATAGCAAAAAGGTTTTGTTATGTTTCTAAGAGAGGGGTTTTTAGCCAATCCAGCAAGAAAGTGCAAACAGAATGTGCACACACTTGTTATCCATGTCTAGGAGCCAGGAGGATCACACACACACACACACACACACACACACACACACACACACACACACACACACACACACACACACACACACACACACACACACACACACACACACACACACACACACACACACACACACACACACACACACACACACACACACACACACACACACACACACACACACACACACACACACACACACACACACACACACACACACATCACTGAGCTGTCAGGTACAGGTGAACTCTCTCAGGGGCTTCATGGATGACGTGGTGTCTCATGTTGTCCTCTTTGTGCAGCCAAGGGCACTCACTGGCCCCTATCTGTCAGCTGGGGGCCACCAGGCCACTAAAGACAGATGGCAGAACAATGTCCCCCCCTTCCTCACTGCGGTAAGAGGCAGACTGTCCCTCCAACCTCATTCACTCACAGATGACATGAAAGGATGTTGTAGCTACTGTACATGAGTGGTAGAATGTCTTGTATGTGTTGGTACTGTGACCTAAGTTGCCTGATTACTAGTGCTACTGTTGCTTTTTTGAAGTGGGATTCTGTATATTCATTGTCAATTTTGTGTTTCTACATTTCTTTAACCTTATCTTTCTTTCATTGATTGCCATCATGTTGACCAACTGACGGTTCTCTAAGGCCCCTCCCTCTTAGAAACTGTTGCTCAACATGTTAAACGTTCTAGTCTTGGACTGGATATATGCAGTTTCCAATGATGAACAGTCAAAGATTTACAACTCAAACTATTTTTTTAAATGTATTTTTTTTAAAGAATGAATCGCTTCTGGATATAACATTGGCCTACAGGCAGACAAAACAGATTCTAATTTTTAGAGGCCGACAGCCTCTTTTGTTGTGATGGCTGGCAGATTTGATGTGCTGTAGCTAGCTAGCTAATTAAGCTACTTTTTCAAATCGGTTGACTAATATTTAAAGCTCTTGTAGTTTAGTAGGCAAAGCAGAACATAGCCACTTATGTTAGCCTACAAACCAACTCTCACACAATGGGGACATTTCAAAGTTGTTTTTTTAATGTAATTAGTAAACCAAAAAAACTATTTAGTATGAAATGATGCTGGCCTATTAGGCCTACTATAAGAACTAAGCTAGACAGACATGCTAGCATTTGAAGCAAACAAACATGAGTGAATCCATGACTTATTTTTATGATTTTAGTAAACATGTAATGTAAGAATCAATATGGAGTGTGCAAGGTCAAAACATTCACAGCACTTCACTGCGTCTAGTTACGGTATTATATGGCATAAATAATTCATGATTGGACAATTGCTGGGTTCGCCAACAGTTCATCACAATCAACTACATTTTAACAACAATAAATACATGGTTGGTTTGAATTGATGTCTGTAAACTAAAGAGCTACCATGGTAACATAATGAACAC